TCAATGGAATTTATTTTCCACGTGCGCCATTAACGCTCGTACATTGAAGGAAATCATCATGACGAAACCGGCATGCCTGAGACCCAAAACTCAAAGGCGCAGATCTGAACATCTACCTTTCGAAAAAACAAATGATCAAGAGCCCCAGACCAAAAGCGGCACTGGTATAAATTATCTGTCAAAACAAAAGATTATCTCTAACTAACTAAATCAGTACTATTTAACTACAGTAACTAAAGCACTGAACCATCTGAATCCATATCTAATTACATACAGTCTGACTGAATAAACAAAAGTTTGTTGACCACGATCGCTGCAAAGGACTCGACTCGTTCAGTTATGTTACTTTAGTTATTATTAATATTCTATTGAATTTTACTACTTCGCCGTCAACCAATTTAAAACGTTCAATAGCTATTGGCGGTTAATACTTAAATCCTTACTCTTGTTGCATTTTTACAAAGATTACAATAGGTATATTTAAATGAAAATCTTTCACCCATACTTTTGTATAATTGAATCTGCTCGTATATAAATTTATTAGGAGGTTAGTACTATTTATATTACTTCAATTCATCGATTTTCCATAGATTTCAATAAACAATTACCAGTTTTTTTGTATCATAGAAATTGTAGATATGGTTATATATATATTTTTTTTTTTTTTTTTCTTATGGTTACTTCGTAATCCTGTAACTTAAACATAAACCATTTGTTATATATTTAATGAATACCTTGATAAATAAAACCTCTGATATTATTTATGCAATCATAAAACTTACGAGTGAAAAACGTATGTACCGTATAAGTTCCCCTCGTACTATAATCATAAAAATTGATACTTTAATAATATCAAGCTGAAGGGTTTGTTTGTTCAAATACGCATTAATCTTTAAAACGACTGGCTAGAATTAAAAAACAAAAAAATTGTGCGTGTACTACACTTCACTTCACTTCTTTATGATCTTATTTTTCGAAAAATGATCTACTATATGCAACTTTACAGAAATTCGTTAAATTAGATAAAGTTTAACAAAAGGCTTTTATTATCATAGACATGAATACAAATATTTCATTTTACCTTATTACTACGAAGATTATTATAGAATTTCATTAATTGTAATAGAATTATTACTATCATTGAAAAACGTGACGATTTGCTACAAAATTTCTCCCATACGTCGATATAGAAGTTTCATTCCAACGCCGATAAAGAAGTTTGACTTCAAAAAGCAACATGGCGCGTAACCGAGAAATGTGACGCGTAACGAAAAAATGTTACACTAAATTTTTTTTCCAACCTCGATAAAGAAGTTTCACTTCAAAAATTTGCAAACACGGGAAAGAAATTTCAGTTCCGTGCGTTGAGTAAACAATGATAGGTAATACCTATCTTATGACAAAATTTTGACTTTAATTTATGATATTAAGGGTCTGTTTCACAATGTATGGATAAAGTACCAAATAGCTATGCAACACAAATTATTTGGAAGATAAATTGTACTTGTCACTTCATCGGACTCCTAGCTTATGATGTACTTTATGTGACGAATAACGCTATCTTACAGTCGTGAAATGCAACAATAGTGTTTATCCTACCAATAAGGTAAATAGCTAATTTGGAACTTATGTAGAACTTATCCGTACATTGTGAAACAGACCCGTAAAATATAAAATTTACCATACGCATGCTAATTTGTATCACTTGAAACAATGTAAAAAAGCTAGTAGTTAATATTAGTTGTGCTGCCCCTGGGTGACAGCTATGTCATAACGTAGCTATCGGCCTACGCGGCCATACTTCGCTCAAGAGTCTTTTGTTTCCGAGTACTTCGTCTACCGCTGGGTACTACGAATGACACGTTAGATTACATAAATTGTAAGGCCATTCTTCACAGTGCCTTAATTAAATGAGAATGTTCTAGGCTTCATCTAACCTAACCATAATATTTATTAATGTTGCATAATATTTATTAATGATTATACAGGACTTGGACACTTGAAATTTTGTATACGTTCCGCTAAAAGAGTATAGAAGTTCCTAGTTAAATATAAATAAGAATAATATCGTGAAGAGTAACTATAGTTGTATGTCTCCTAAATATTTTTTGATGTAATTTAACGTATCTGCCTTTTTTGTTTATTTAATGTGCTTCTTCAAATTTTAAAGGCCTGTTAAAGCATTAAAGTTAAATACGTAGTAGCTGTCAAATATAATACAGGTTATTCAGGTAATTTTACTAATCATTTTTGATTAAAAATTAGCCTAGAATATTTTCAAAATGTTTAGGTTAAGTTAAAATGTATATGTATTATAGTGAAATTATGTTTTTTCGGTCAACGCATGCAAGCCACAAGATAATCGAGAACGCTCTATTTTTAAATTTGATGATTTATTGTGTTTATGGTACACAAAACAATCTTACCTGGTTACTGACAAATGCATACTTTTTTATTCATATTTATAATTTCTCATTCCATATGTAAATGTATCTTCCTTGTTCCCATTATATTTCATATCAATCATGTAAGAAACTGTAACATCTTCAAATTGTCACTCTCATCTGTCATCACATTTATAATTCACAACGTTACCATAGACTTCACACACGCGTTTAATTATTTAAATATAACTTTTGTCTAGTCTCCAGTTCTATATAATTACGAATTTTAGTTCAAATAAATCGCCACACACTAGTCTTGTTTTCCGCCATCTTTCATTTTTGACGCATGCGTACTTTTTATTTAATTGACACATGCGCTATGCAAGTATTTATCACAATAAGACACCATAGACTATAAACTTTAAAAATTATTAAAATAAATTGTCTAATTGGCCGAGTGTCAATTCAGTTTTTTAAATAGTCATCAAATGTGCTTTGTATAGAAATATCTGTAGTACTTATGATTTGAATATAATTAAATACTGCACTTACTACACTACTGGCTTTAAAATAAAGCATAAAATATTTTAGCATTCGTTATTTAAATTAAGATATAGATTGCAAGGACTACAGCAATGTTAGCATAGTGGTTTAAGTGTTACGCGCGACTCGCACTCGAATGCCGATGGTCGATGGCTGGCCATGCGTCATACTCGTGAACGGGTGCTACTTGTGGTGACTGGTCGTACTTGAATTCGTGTATGCGGTGATGTTAGTCATTTCGACTATGTGTTTGCGTGTTGTTCCCACGAGAATGTAAGTGCGTGCTTCTATTTCACCATGCCTCCTGCTGATAGAAGACAAGTCTTTGTTTTTAATTTATGTTATTATTAATTACTTAAGATGTGTCATATGGAACATGGTGTAATGGTTGCAGCTCATTACAAACGTTGTGTAAAAAAAAAACATGACGAATAAAAAGAGTGGCGGAGAGTTTATTGCCAGTTCTTCTCTTCCGTTCTACGCCCTTGATTTGAGAACTGACACTAAATGTAAAGTTAGAAGCATTTCATATACATTTTTTTTTCACCATCATAATACCTATATGATTAAATGATTTTTGAATTTGAATGTTCCAAGGTTAAAATCACTAAAAGCTAATTTCTACTTTTTTAGTTAAAATGACTATCCATACGAAAGCTTTCGAAATATTAAGCAATCAGTACTTTATACTATAGTTTACACGTTCTAATTGTGTGAAAACTTTTCATGGTGGTTCAAATTCTGCAAAAGTATCACGGTTAATGCGGGACCACAGACCCTTTCATTTAACTAATCAAATAATTAGTATACAGAATTCTACCTCTTTTTCATATACCATTTTACTTCATAGCAAGTAGGAGAAAAACAGTATAATGCCCCGTTTTGAAACCTTTACTTTTCGAGTACTTTTATTTTTCCAAAAAAAAAACATTAAAATAACCATACAGTTTTATGCTTTATTTCATGAGTGCATTATGCAGGTTTCTCCAGAGAACCTCTTCAAGTAGAGCTCTCAAGGCAAGCCACTGTCTCGATCTAGATCGCGTTGCCTCTTACTGCGATAAAGCGGTCAATCAACTACGATAAAGTTCTTTAAAAGCTAGTTTTCCCGTCTTTGTCTAAAGGTATAGAAACAGGTTGGACTAGTGGCTTCAGCGTGCGACTCTCTTCCCTGAGGTCGTAGGATCGAACCCCGGCTGTGCACCAATGGACTTTCTTTCTATGTGCGCATTTAACATTCGCTCGAACGGTGAAGGAAGCAACCGGCTTGCCTTAGACCCAAAAAGTCGAGAGCGTGCGTCAGGCACAGAACGCTGATCACCTACTTGTCTATTAGATTAACAAATGAAACAGATACAGAAATCTGATGCCCAGAGAAAAGGTTGTAGCGCCATTGATTTTATGGAAGACAGGTGACTATTCACTAGATATTATTTAGGAAACCAATTGAGGTATTAGCGCAATTGCAGCAACTGTGGATCCTTCTAGAAAAGCCAACCTGATAAGAAGAAGACCACTGACCACTGTCACTGGCTCACAAGAGCAATTTACAATATATTCCAATTGAATGTGTTATAATCGTGTGAACAAAATGTATACATATAACAATAATAACATTGAGCTATTTCAGCAAATATACCATGATTGCTGAGCAGATCATGTAAGCGACAACAACAAAACACGACAGATAAGCGAATATATAATTATGAAATCTACAACCGTTTTAGAAAATTTGCTAGATCTGTATTCTATTACAACTTTTATTAGAATTACTGTTTAATATATTTACATAGACATGTAACAGATAATGAAACGATTACAATTTTCTTAGCGAGCTGATAATAATACATTTTAATACCAGTTTAACGTATTATTATTCGGTAGATCGTATATTTTATTTACACAAATACAGTATTTACAATTTTCTTAACCTATAAAGTAATAATAAAAATAATTAAAGAAGAAAGAAGAAAATCAAAACAAATTAAAAAAAAAATACATAGATAATTCTTGAGTCTTTCTCTAAACAAAGCAGTTGTTAAATATCAAGTGTCTCAAAATAAGCAAATGTATTTAATTTATAACAGTGAGCCTATTATCGAGATAGGGTGTGATTGGTGATATCTTCTTTATGTATTTTTCAACGACGTCCACGTCCTTGCCGATGACCTTGAAGTCTCGTCCATGTTTACGTAACATCTGAAATAATGTTACATTTGTTTGAAACTTTCTAAAACCTATTTACTATTCATTTTTTACTCAATAAATAGATTAGATTAACTTTATCTTTACATTTATAACGTGTCTGTCATTACCATTAATACCTGTAATCTTATTTAAATTAGTTCTAGACATGGCAAATAGGGCATAGGTACACATTTTTGCATAAGTTATAATCGCAATATTTTAAATTAAAATATTACGAGCACTGCTTTCGTCAATTCGAGTAAAATGTCGGGCATAAATCACGTTGAATCAAAGAATATTGGTCGTTATGAGAATTTTTAAGTAATTACGTGACAATTTGTTAAAATCGCGATGTTATGACGTGAATAATATCGCTATATTAACAAATTAGTAAGTAAATATTTCTATAGCATCAATTAACGTTGTGTAATGTTTTAAAATAATTCTGTATTTCCTTTATATAACAAATGCCAGCTAATAAACTTGAACCCAACGATAGGACTCTGTCAAAAGTCAATAACATCTATTATAAATAGTTTTAATTTTGGTCGAGTTTCTATGGGACTGGCATCTATGAATCATTTGGCACCCTGTAAATACTTACGTCAAAAGTTCCACCCTCCTTAATCACGAAATTTATCGTACTGAGCTGGTACTCCTTCTCCGGGCCTAATAGCTGGTAATCGCCATCTTCCTTTACTAACACCTCCGCTTCCGGTATCTCATCAGTTAAATTTAGTGTTAGTTTCAGGCCTGAAATATTGTTTTATTTATTTGGGAAACAAAACATAGAATAGACACGTCAATTGGATGTCCACAAAAAAAGTTTCACTGATAAAAAGTATGATAAAGAAAGCAAAACTAAACATAGTATGACAGCACAAAATTTATAAATCTGGAGAAAGACCAACATACTAGTAGCTATAATAAAGAAGAAAAATGATACTAGGATTAGGACATTAATAGTTGTTCTAAATTATTTTTAAATGAAGCAGTAGAGGAGTGCGAAAAAGGGTCGATGTTAGTGGCAGAATCCAAAAGGGAACACATCCTATGAAGTGGCTCGCGGAACCCAATGTTGGTTCTGGGAGTCGGAAGGTTAAAGGTTCTGTGCGAGCGTAGAGACCTGGCAGGAACGTTGAATGTTATGAGTTCAAGAAGATCTGAACAATTTAGTTCATCTACGCATATTTTTCTTATAGTGTGTATATATATATACCCATGCGACTTCTTCGATACAAAAACTTCCCACAAAAACTCGGGAGTTATGTGCTGCAATATTGCGGGCTACGCGATTGTGAGGAAGTTGCATGGATCTGGTTAGAGCTACAGCTGCTTAAGTTTATATGTAATTTTCACACGTGTATGTCCTTTTTCTAACATATTTGTTTGTACTCATTTTAGCATGTGTGATTTTTGAGAACATAAATAAAATGAAGTATGTTTTAACTAAATAAGCCACTTATATAAAGTTACATCATTCTTGTATATTTTTTTTTCATTTCTTTAGTCTGTATTTTTTATTTAATCTATACTGGTTTCCACTGTTTTGTCTTTTGAAGTTGACAGATGACTGAATAACTATTAGTGGACGATTAATTTAATTAAGACATACTATATTGTCATTTACATGAGAATTAAATATGGGTAATAAGCTCTAACGGTCGTCTTAAATTCTATTTTTTTAAATATCTACTTAACGTAAATTTATTTAAAGGGAAATCAACGTCATGACCCTAATTTTGTACAGACAAAGACTGTACATTAAAAAGTTACTTCATTTGAGTTGGGTAAAATATAAATTAAGAACATACCTGCTACCTGCGGTAACCATGGTCCTGCGAAAGGCTTTCTCACCCACGCGTTTGTGGTACATGTTTTTAATGCCTCTAAGATATATTTCCCAGGTACAACGAACGTCACCATATCGTTTGTAAATGGTAAGGTGTTGATGAGGTCTCCTCTCGATATTTCTGCAAGCAAGCAAAAGCCTTGTGCTTAGTAACTAGTGTCACTAGTGACTTCGTTGGACATAGATTATTTATTGATTTTTATGGTCGAACAAGATTTACATAAATCTTTACAATTATTATTTATTAATTGGGTGAACATAAACAATTTAATGTTAAGCTAATTAATATATCAATATTCATTGACATACCTCCTTTGGAAAGAGATCCTCGTATCGAGTTTCTAAGCAAAAATGCTACATGTGTCAAATTACTATCTGCTATTTCTTTTCCCTGAAAAAAAAATTACGACCAAAAATCATAATTAGGTTTCCTAGGCGCAAGGCGGTGGGAAAAGTAGTTTAGCATTGATACAAAAAAAGATTTGCTTATGCATAGGAAATGATTTTAGAACAAGCTTATTAATTTCGCACTTATTCTATTTTTTCATAATATTTAATTTTAATTATCTGGAAGACCACGCTTATTGGCCGTCCCTTGAATGTGTGAAATGGACGGTAGAAATAGTAGAATAAATATATACTTCATTAGCATGCGAGCAATTTTTGGAAGTAAAACTTCTTAAGGCGCATGAGGGTAAATTTTTTACGGAACGTCACGAAGATGTACAGCGTTTTTGTCATAGAAAAGGGATAGAGGGATTGAGACCGATTGAGAGAGAGTGAGAAGGGTGAGTTACCTTATAAAAATTCTATTTTTAAAATTAAAATTTCGTAAAGAGAATTTATGAAATATTAGTATTTTATATTTTATACAAAATAATTTATTGCAATCTCAAATGACGAATTGTAAATTAAAGTGCCACGTATGTTTATTATCGAAGAAATAAATTTTATTTTTTTATTTTTATTTGTATTAATTTTTGACACTTTTAATATTTAATGACAATTAAATTCCTAACATATCTTGCTTTTCCCCTCCCTCTAAGTCTCGGAAATCTAAAGTTTTAGGTTTGTATAAATATGAACAAGAGTTAAAAATTAGTTTGCCACAGAAGTTTCACTTCTGACATGTGTACTTTGTACGCACGTACTTTTTTTTACAGCAGTTGTAGGCAAGTTTGAGTAGTATAACATAAATAATAATATTATTTCTTATTTAGATGTAAATCAGTAAAGTGCAATCTGGACGACTTAATATATCAATTAGTAACCAGTAAATTGAGATCAAGGATTACATACAATTTAAATAATACTTACTGCACTAAGCACAGCATCAGCATACATATCTCCGATGGCACATTCTTGCGCACCGCACTCCGTCATAATTAGATTATCATTTGCTACTCCAATGATTTCTTTCACCACAGAGTGAAGTTGTTCTTGATAAGGCTTTAACAAGGCCTTGATAGCTAGATCTACAAAAAAACCAGTAGAGTTTAGTATATTTATTTTCATAAGATGCGTAATCTTGAGAAATAACGAAATAAATTAACTGGAATTAAGAGATTAGAAATTTTTTCGTTCATTATTTTTATTTTTTAAGTAAAAGTAATATATTTACTTGTAACTATGTAAAGTACCCCCCGTAACTATATATTTATTGTTACTATAAATATATAGGTAGTTGTATATATACTATACTAACTTAGTATATAACTTAGTATATAATAAATATTTGCGGTATACCTTCAGGAATTTCTTTATCAAGAAAGACTGGTGTTCCTTCGAATTTAAGTAAATCGCCGTTTCTGTTAAAATACGCTGTCAAATTTCCAACATATTTTGTGAATGCTGATGCTGTCACGATAGCAATCTATAATTGACATAAAGTAAGATTATACAAACATTGCTTGATAACTTATAATACAGCTATACCAACAGGGGTGAATTTCAATTATTACAAAATATATTAAACCATGAAAAAATATACCTATAGCTATCAGAAAGTACCACAGTCTTCTCCAATATTCTATATCATATCTAAACTAAGATTTTTCCATCGGCCTTAGGGATAAACATATATTTTTTTGAGAAACATAACTAACCTTATGTCCAGGCCGTAGCTCCGACTCGACAATAACGGGATAAGGCCCTGCAATCTCTTCGTGACTCGGTGATTGTCCATTCCATAGGAGACTGTGCGAATGACCACCGACAATTATGTCTATATTCTCACCTACCTGATTTGCTATTTTTCTAAAATAAATACCATATTATTATTTACTATAATAATAGCAAAAAAAAAGAAAATATACAATAACTTAAAATATGCAACATTTAAATCAGATAAAAGAAGGCTAAATCATAACTAAACCATAACAAATAATAGAATTTGCTATCTTGTGAATTTTGTCTGTGTATATACAGACATACACACAAGATAAATATATTATATATTCTCGTATCGTGGTACCAAGAATACAACAATTCTTGGTAGAAACCGATCTTTATTTGGTTACGCACAGACTGGACAAATGAAATAGTCTGGAAGTTGACTCAAACAGAGCGATTTTGGCCAGCTCAAAAAAATATAACGCGTAAAGTGTAAACAATTAAATTAACCGCACCGCATCCATTACTCAAACGTGAGCATGTCAAGGCTAAAATCTTTCAATTTTTGTATATCAAGCCGAGAATAAAAAACATTGTTAATTGTAAAAAAAATATTATTGGGATATGTCGGAACAATAGCGTTCCTGTCAGCTACCATTGTCACTATATGTCACATATCTTATAAATTAATAAAGTCCAAGTCAAATAGAAAAAATAACAATCATTGTTTTGATTAAAAGAAATCCAAATCACATATATAACTTTTACGAAAATCTCTTTATTAATTCAAGCAAAAAGATGTCTCAGATCGTTAGTAAATAAAAACACTGGAGAATTTTATATCATTATTAATTCACTAATGTATAGCAACAAAGCTAGAATTTAATAAAAATATTATGATTCGTCATTATCAACACATTACATTGAAATATTTCCGTAACGAAATTGATTCTAAACGCATTTGAACAAAGTGTGACCTTTCGCAAAATATATTTTGAAAAGTGTAAATAGTGGTATTTTTTTAAAATTAGAATCATGTATTTAACTAGCCTCAGATTTGACCTGGGTTGATTTGAATTCTGCGCATTCATGATTCGGAAGGAATTATGGATGCGCACATATTTTGGTCCTGAGTTTGTTTACGTTTTTAGCTTGGCGGTTGATACCAAGGCGAATCCAGGGTATGGCCTTGGTCTCGCTATCATAAATTAAAGCAGTTGCTGGTACTGAATTTTTACAGATTCTGTATAAAATGATCCTAATGGGTCAGTTTATTTGGGACCGTTTCTTATGAACTATACAAATTATTAGTATAGTACAAACACATAATCATGTGTGGGTTTTTATTTAATTTGACTGAATATTAGTTTCAGCACTGGGGATAGCCCACAAATAATCTCCTTGAATTTTATCTTATAGATATTATTTAGCTTATAAAGACCAATGGGGCTGCAACATTTTTGGTCTCCGCCTCAGATTTCTGTTATGGTACAACAGCCGCTTATATTGTAGTTAATGAGTGGCATCTGTGTTTTATTAGGTCTTTGTATAATTACTGCCCCAGATGCTAATACACTCCTAGTATTAAAATGTATATACTAGGTTTAATTTAATAATACCATGTACCTATTATGTTTTGTTCCACGAATAAATTACTTAAGCGATTGCAATAAATGCAGTGCAAATATAAGAATAAACAAAATTAAGAGATAACATGCCTTGTGGCCTATTAGAAGGTTTTATATAAATATTATCCTCTCAATAGTGAATTGTTAAAATATCCTCTATAAGTCGAGAAAGCAGCTGGCGTGTCGAGTTAGTAATTTGACAGGTTTATTGGAAAATATCGAAGCACGCCGCTGTCCTTGCATTTAAATCGACGATAAGTCAAACGTATGAACTTAAATAGAATTTATTTTCTACATATTTTATCTCATATATTCTAAACGAATTTGTATTAAAAAACATATCACAAATATTTAGTCCGCTTTTAGTCATATACAGTAACAATGTTAAATTTCGCTAAGAAAATAAAAGCATTGAAACTAGATTTAAGGTCGTTTTTAACAATAGAAACCTCTTATTCTTAAAAACTGAATCAATCTATTTATACTCTTGTGACTATAGATAAGTGACGACAAAGACAAATAGAACGTCCTGTCTTAATTGTTTTTACGCTGTGACCAAGAAGTAAGAGAGGGATAGTACCAGTAGTACTAGTAGTAGTGTCATATATTCATGTACATGAATACCTGATAGTGGGTTTATATTTGTCTGATTAATCAAGATTAAGTAAAATAATTGAATGAAGACTGTTGGATACGTACTTGTCAACGTCCAAACCACAATGTGACAAAAGTATAATTATATCAACTCCTTTCTTAGTGAGTGCTTCAGCCTCTGTCTTGGCAGCTTTTATTGGATCTAAGAATTTTACTTTACCGGGAGATGAAGATATCTGTAATTTAAATGATTGTTGAAAAATATATAATCTATCGGTGCAATATCCAAGGTTCGAACACATGATCACACTTATCCCCGCTGCTCTTAAAGAGATAACAGATAATTTTTAAATAAAACTTTAAATTTTACAGTTTTATTTAAAAATTAGAGTATCTTATAACCTTGATCGCGTTTATATCTGTTAAAATAGATTTGTAGTAATATTGTACTACTTAATGAAAACACGCGTAATTGCTTACTTTTACTCGCGTAAAATTTTATGATTTTATTACTCACTTGAGTTTCTGTCGTTATAAGGCCTATGATTCCTATCCGTCTACCTTTCCTTTCAACAACAATATGTGGCTTATAGAGGTCATTGAGAGCTGGTTCTTGACTGGTGTCGATATTGGCTACGACTACTGGGGCCTGGAGTGCCGCAAGGTATGGCGCGAGGCCCGCTATGCCGTCATCAAACTCGTGGTTTCCGATTGCCTACAATTTATTTCATAAGTAAGTTATTGTTTAAAACAGTTTAAGTAAAAACAAGTTTCTTTAGCTACGTATGTTTATTGTTAATTATTAATACATATTATCAATTTGTCAGTAAATCATGTCATTCTTTAACCGTAACAATTGACATTACGCTCTTCCCGCCAAATTGTTAACCTATCGCGCTAAGAAAAAGTGATTTCAATTATGGTACCTATACAAGTTTTATTTTAACACGTAAATTTTGTTGTATATTTAAAATTGTTTGAAATGTGAGTGCTTAATATCTAAAGATTTAAAGCCGTTTGATGATTTTGAAATATATTTTTTTAAGGCAGTTTTTGCCGCGCACCACCACTATGTGGAATCAGCTGCCCACGGAAGTATTTCCGAACCAATTCGACTTAGCGTCCTTCAAGAAAAGAGCGTACCAATTCTTAAAAGGCCGGCAACGCACTTGCGAGCCCTCTGGCATTGAAAGTGTCCATGGGCGGCGGTCTCACTTAACATCAGGTGAGCCTCCTGCCCGTTTGCCCCCCGTTCTATAAAAAAAAAAAAAAATGTTTGGTTTTTACATAAAATCTTGTGTAAAAATTATCTTTGTTCAAAGAATATAAATTTTATAATAATAGAATAATTGCTGTAAGTACTATAATATTTTATACCTATAATTTACACACGTAATTGTATACGCAGTAATTAGTTATGTAATAATGTACATCATTATTGTAATACTAACGTGAGCGTCGTTAGGCAGCAAATTAATGAACTTCTGGGTAATGTTCCATTTCAGGAGAGTGTACCAATAAGTTCCTTGGAAGGTGTCTCCAGCATTAAGTAGCAAGGCCCCAGGTTTCTGTGCCAAAAGAGTCTTTATTTCATGGTACAATCGGGCATAGCCACCTAGACATTGCGTATCGTTCGTCGAGCATATTGGGTACTGCACTGTAGTTTCTTCGAATCTGTAATAAATTTATAATTTTTTAACAGGGCCCAAAGCAAACGTGTACAAAAACTTATTACATAAAAATAAAGATTGATTGAGCGTTGGAAAGTAATTAAAAATGTTTAATTGTTTTCCTTTCTTCGGATTATAAAATAATTACAACTGTCTACCTTTATATCTATATTTATTAAATACCCGCATTTTTTAATTATTATTGTATGCCTTTATGTATAATGTCCATATGTGATGCCGCGTATGCCGATATATATGCAGTATCTGCGATGCCGCGTTAATTATTCTAAATAAAATGAAAACGAAGTGTAAGACAAAAATAAACATTATTTATACTAGTTTATTTATTTCCATTAAATATGAATACTATTCTTACAACTAAATTACCAATTACAATGGCAAAAAAAGAACAATTTGATAACAAATAATTGCAAAAAAGTACGTCAGCTGAATTAAACTTTTTTGTTAACATCATACTAAGCTTGGAAAAACATAGTCAGCTGCATCATGGAGAGGGGGCTATGCGTCAGCTACTCGTATGAACTAGTATATTTTTTTTAATAAACGCCGTGCGCCGGATGAAATCTAACATTTCATTACTCTAATATTTGAAAGTACGAAAATAATAGTCAGCTATGGGGGTCAGCTATACAAACGTAGAATAAGGCGAAAGATAACATTTTTGAAAAGATTTTTATCTTGTTACGCCAAAGAAGTATAACTTCTAACGCGTGTACATAAGTACACACACGTTTTTATTTTTATTCTACCTGTATATTAGTATGTTTTATTACCATTGTACACTGTATATAGTTTAGTAATATGCATTTCGTTTATATACAGATGAGATGAAAAACGACAAAATCATAAAATATTCGCACTGTTCGAATGGTCTGTACAGCATCAGCTGACGGTCTTTCCCCGCTACACACGCAGCTGAACATTATTTTCGTACTATCAAAACTTTAAGCAATCACGTGGTCAAGTTTCAAACGGCGTACTATGAATTTATTTTCCGTATTTTTTTGTAAGTTTACGCAAGCAGCTGACGTAAATCGCCTTCGATAGAAGCTGATGAAATTTTTTCCAGCTCAGGATGTTGTTAAGTATTAATCAAAAATTTCGTCGTCGCTTACGATTAGTTCACATGTTAGTCAGCCGAGATCTATTGAAAATGATGGCAATCGATCGGCATAAAAACAGCTATTGTCGCCACAGATTCCAAATCACATTTGTAACTGTTTTTGCAAATGACAACAGGAAATCAAAATGAGGAAAAACGATACTATCGAAGTCGAACCGATAACCTCATACAGGTCCTTGAAATGTCTTGTCGAATCTTGTATCTCTGATGATAATCGTATTGTGTATTTCATTTTTTAACCTCCTATTGTCTTACATAAGTTATAATGTTCGCGTCTTGTTACTTGGTAATAATTAAGCTAGGAAGGTTTAGACTGAATTTGCGACTTGATTTAAGAAACTATGTGTTAGTATATTTTCTATGGTCCCATTTACATAATAATACAATTTAGATACATATTTTAAAAGTGTTCTAGCATTTGTTTTCGAAAAGCACACTTAGTAAAAACAATTAACTATGATTTTAAGTAAATACTTTTAATATATATTTGTGACGGGTTATATCTGTGAATTTTGTATCACAAGCTATTTACTAACAATCATTGTCTTTCACGCCTATTGTGTCGTTTCCAATGAATATTTCAATATGCAAACAAAAGATGTTTAAGAAAATAATAATATCAAGTGGCGCTGCAATCCAATGTGTCTTGCCCACAAATTGCATCTTTTTCTTTGATGATTATATAGATAAGCATGTGATCAGACTTCTGAGCCAAATATCATCGTGTCGATCATTTTATGGATAGAAGAAATACCAGTATCCTCGCGATGTTTACTTTCACTGTACGAGAAAGTATTAAACGCGCGGTGAAAACACGGAAATTGAACGCACGACCTCTGGGTTGATAGTCGCACACTTAATCCAAGCTTACACTTCTCTACAAGTACACACAACACACAAACACATATATGCATAATTGAAATTCGTAAATTTATAAATGTCTTGCCGCCTTTTTTCTGCCTTTCCATAGAAACGTGCTGTAATCGTACAATATCATTTAGGAATAATGCAGCTTTGTAGCGATGAAATACTTTTTAAAACCGGTTCAGAGGTTCAAAGATTTTACCTACCAACAGTCCCACAAACTTTACCACTATATAATATTGCTGAATATAAATCCTAAACCTAACCATAGTCAGTTTAATTTCAGTTTGATAAAAAAATTGCCATATGTAATTAAAATGTGGAGATTTTCACACTTATGTTATAAATTCACGCGAACAAAATTGTTAATTGATCTCGCATAATAAAAAATACGTTACTAAACGTAAAATTCAAACTCAGCTTTCCTATTCTCACCAATATGCTTATTGTCAAATTTATAATCAATAACCTTACGATCAGCTGATTTTCTTGAATTTATTTACCATTAGTGTAGGTTTAAATTAAAAAAATATGTAGTATCAATAATTTAATTTTGCCATTATCGTTATGATTATATTATTTTTATGTTAATACTGACTTTACCTGGCATGGAAGTCATTGTAATGCACAATATCCAATCTAAATACTCCATTATTTATAACACTGGCACTAACACTACCAAATAAGGCACACAGTATAACGTCAAGAAACATTTTAAATTTGGAACGCGTTACATCTGTCACATATTCGTTGATAAACTGCGCCCGCGTCAGGTCAAAAGGCAGGTTTATGGCACACTAATTTGTCTTTGCCTATTCATCTGCATATAAGGAGTGCAGGCCGTTAGCTCCGTCAATCAGATATATACTTAGTTCCTTTGCGATAGAGTGATATTCAACCAATACAGAGGTCCAAGGGTACAATGCAGACAACTTTTCTTTACAGATATCATCTGACTTATAAATTAAAATCTAATATAATATAAATAAAAAATAAGGTCCAATTGATAAAGAGTTCAAAAAGCGAAAACTTTAAGGGAAACACTAGTTTTGGTTATGAAGCTTAAAAGACTCTAGAAATATATACTGCTCAAAACAATTAGCGGAACAAGATTTTTCTCCTTTCTATTGCTTAAACTAAAATTAGATTTAAATTAGCTTGTACGCTATTTTTTACCTTGTTAATTTGTTAATTACTACAATTAATAAAAAAAATCAATTTGTATTTTTTTTATTAAAAAAAATTTAAAATGTGCATTGTAGACGAAAAACTATTTGGTGATAAAAAAGGTCCATCAAAGAAATATTCTTATATCGTTTGAATATTCGTCTTTAGTGACTTTCAGTAACGTGTGTGGCCTCCATGAGCTTGACCACGACGCGGCATGCTTCGTATGATCCTCCGAATATCTTCTTGTGGAATTCGCTCCCATTCTTCAATCAACGCTTCAGTGAGCTGCTGCAGTGTTTGAGGTGCAATCGGACGCTTCCGGATGCGCCTGTCCAGCAAGTCCCAAATGTGTTCAATTGGATTTAGGTCAGGGCTCATGGAAGGCCTCTCCATTACACGGATTTCCTGCTGTCGTAAGTAATCTGACGTGATGGCTGCAGTATGCGGCCTGGCATTATCTTGCATTAAAAGAAAATCTGGGCCCATACCATATGCTGCGGGCCAAACATGATCTTCGAGCACATTTTCAATGTAAGTTTGAGCACACAAGCGCCCGGGAACAACGACGAGATCTGTGCGCTCGTCCAAACTAACTCCGCCCCAAACCATCACAGAGCCACATCCAAATTTGTCATATTCCTGGACTGCTGCTGCACTGTATCGCTCGCCTGGGCGTCTGTAAACACGGAGACGACCATCGCAACGTGTTAGACGGAATCGTGATTCGTCAGTAAAAAGCACTGGCCTCCAATGTCGAAGTTGCCAATTAGCGTGATTTTGCGCGAACTGTCGGCGAGCTTGTCTATGTTGAATTGTTAGACGCACAGCTCGAACTGGTCGGCGTGATCTCAAATTGGCTTCCAACAACCTATTTCTTACCGTCTGGTCGGAAATTTCTACACCAGTAGCCGTCCTTAGTGTATTTTGTAGATCTCTTGCAGTTGTGGTGCGGTTACGTAAAGCACAGTTGACGATGTAGCGATCTTGCAAACGTGTAGTTTTTCTCTTTCGACCTTGACCACGCCTTTGTGAGTATTCTCCCGTCTCACGGTATCGCTTCCAAAGTCTGTAGATAACAGAAGGGGCTACTCCTAGATCATTTCCTACATAACGCATAGTTCGACCCTCTTCAAGCAAAGCGATAGCTCGGGAGACATGCAATTCAGTCAGATCTGGCATTATGACCTAAACTCACTCGCTTCAATGAATAACAATACTCAAAAGGCTCACTTCAATTTCTATTAATACTCAAAATAAAAGATTGAAAAAAAACTATTTAAAATGTGTTTTCTGTGATTAGAAAGTAATGAAAATTCAAAGACGTCACTTTGTTTTTCGTCTACAATGCACATTTTAATTTTTTTAAATTTTAAAAAAAAAAAAAAATACAAATTGATTTTTTTATTAATTGTAGTAATTAACAAATTAACAAGGTAAAAAATAGCGTACAAGTTAATTTAAATCTAATTTTAGTTTAAGCAATAGAAAGGAGAAAAATCTTGTTCCGCTAATTGTTTTGAGCAGTATATTATTTGACTCATGAGTTATGGTACTGCCTATATTCAGTTCAAAATTAGGACCTTAACGCTTTGGCCTTGTACCCATTTTGATAAATTGCAGCTCCTCTTTATTACACTCATATGTTTACAAACCTATAAATAAGTGACCAGCGGAAAACGCAAACGTTCACAAAGAAGTGTATTAATATTTTTACTTTCAAATTAGTAAACTAAAGTTTTCTTAACAAGAATGATAACCAAAACTATATCAGTCACGTACATTAGAATATTCAATTGTATTCTTAATGATATATATAATTAGCTAATGACCGTGACACCGTACTGTGTTAAGTTTCTAAAACACTTTTCAATAGTACGTGACTATAACTACTTTTATATTATAAGTACTAGGAAAGACATTAATAGTTTTTGGTATTTATTAATTTATTTAAATTAGCTAGTAGCATGTACCGGACATGCCAATTTTTTTATGTTTCAAAGTAATTATCATTGCAGGCTTTTATTTTGATTAAAAAAAAATATAGCATAGTTATCAAATATTTCTTGCGATTAGGATTTTTTATATAAAATAATAGAAGCTACACTGCCTAAAATAAGGCTCTCTAAAAATTAAATAATATTATTTCTATTTCGCAGTTATATGGCAGAGTGGATACCCTGAGGTATTGAAATATAACTTGTTTGTAACAGAGCATCAGGTTTTGTCAAAAGCCAAACCAAATTTAAATATAAAACAATAAGTGTAAATTGAAATGTTCCACTGTGTCCACTGTCCAAATGATCCACTAGATTTAAACAATTCTTTCAACTATAACTGCCATAATTTCTTAGCAAAACAGTTTCTATGTTTTTTCAGTTACAATTTTTTTTGTGTACGCCTTTTTTATTCAGTATGACAACGGTCAGAAGTAATATCCCAAAATTAAAGTAATGTTCAATCATATAATAAAAGGGGGTTGTATGTCTTATAAAATAATAGATACAGTAACGAGTCTTAAATAGAGAAAGAGTATAAAGGATACAAAATACAAATCCCGTAAAAAAATACAACAAAATTTAAAATGTTAAATTGGTGTTAATGTCAGACTGGATTGATTTTCATGGAATTCTGATCCTGAATATAATACGTTTTTAAACTATTAAGTTAATTTTGGAAGATAATTTTATATCTTAATATATATAAATTACGTGTCACGTTGTTTGTCCGCTATGGACTCCTAAACTACTGAACAGATATCAATCAAATTTGCACACCGTGTGTAGTTTGATCTAACTTAAAAGATAGGATAGCTTACATCCCAATTTATACCCGAAATGTAATTTTATTGCAAATTATTTGTTTATTATTTGACACAATTAAAAAAGCATGGTGATCCCCATGGCTGTTGTTTTCCTGCCGTTTCCTTTGAATAGTTTACTACTATGTAATATAACAAAAACCTTAGCCACAGCAACGCTTGGCCGAGTCTGCTAGTATTAATAAAAATATTATGTGTCTCTTCAACATTAATTAAATATCGCACACAAACCTATCTTATGATATGTAGGTTAAAAAACAAAGATTTTTGTAACGCAAAACACAATCCTTCCTGAGATTTGCAGTCACTCTCATTATGCTTCGTTTCATTTGCCCGTTCCATTTACTTCTCACTCTTTATTTTCAACGAAGCTTTCACACATTTCAATGCGACTACATTTTTTTATTTAGGGACAAATATACTTTTATAAAGGATACATCGGCACCTTAATTTTTATAAGAGTATTTTTCTGAATTTAATTGTTTTACCACGATTTGTGCGAAATCTTCGTCATTCCATAGCTGAATATCAGCGTAATTGTAAACATAAGATCATACACCTTCAACCGGTGATACTTGATCAGCCTTCAAATATATTTTTTAGATTTTTCTTAATAAGATATGTTTGATAGCACTGTTTACCGTCAGACCCCTAAACTCAACACAAAAAAATCCAAAGAAATTGCATTCACCAATAATAATAAATAAAATGATCCTTGAAAAACGAATTTGGGCGCGAAAAAAAACTTAAGTAGAGATTACTAAAAATAATGAATATACTGATAATATAATAATATATTCTACTAAAACAAACATAATATTTCCTATATTGTCATAACGTAAAAATTTACCCTTTTCATCATATCATTACCTATGATAAGCAGCAAAAGGAATATTAAGGGTCTGTTTCACAATGTACGTTATATAAGTTCAACATAAGTTCCAAATTAGCTATTTAATACTTATAAGTAGGATAAACACGATTGTTGCGTTTCACGACTGTCAGATAGTGCTATTCGTCACATAAAGTCCATCATAAGTTATGAGTCCGATGAATGTCAACACAATTTATCGTCCAAATAATTTATGTGTTGCATAGCTATTTGGTACTTTATCCATACATTGTGAAACAGACCCTAAATCATTAATAACTATAATAAATATAAAGTACCTATATGTTAACGTTATGAGAGAAAGGTATATGAATGCCATTCATCTTTCATTAGCGTCATTCAATTAATGGCGCCAAACTTGCTTAGCGAATACGTCCACAGATTGAAATTGTTATAAACCATTAGACCACAGAAGCTGCGCGTGCTCTAGCAAAAATAATCGGATTGAACCTATGACGAGTATAAAAAATAAATGAACATAATAATATTGGTAACTTACACTTCGTTACCCTTGTGTGTTATGTATATATTGTGAATGAAACTTCAATGTGTAGGTGAAATATTTATAAAAACAACATTTAGAGTTTATTATTTTACTTGAAATAATTACTTTAATCTAATTCCTTTAAAACACAATCTGTTCCAAAAAATATATAATGAATATTCAAGTCACAAACCAAAACTAGCGTTTTTTCCACAGACTTACAAACAAATTAAATGAAACATCACTTTACACATAATCCATAATTAACCATCTAAAGAATCTAATCTAAGAAATATAATTATTTCTTTATATATATATAGTGTGTGTATGTATATATGTCATTATAGAATTGATATGTCTTATTTGCGATATAACACGGCTGAATTTCTTGGCTGTCTTTCCACTCGGGAGAGGTAGACGCAGGTATTGAAACCTGCGTCTACTTAAATTACTAATGTTAGGAAGCAAACCGTGATCCATGTGGTATAAATTATTTTTTATGACCATATTCACAGTTCAATGACCGCCAAAGTCACTTAAATGTCATTGCTTGTGGTGGGGTCCATGCGTCGGTCTCTCACCGTACAATATGGCGAGGTGTCGATGGCTGGCCATGCGTCGTAGTCGAGAACGGATGTAAATACTTTGATACTACGTGTTTGCGTGTTTTTTTTATATAACTGGAGGCAAACGGGCAGGAGGCTCACCTGATGTTAAGTGATACCGCCCCTCATGGACACTCATTACTCACATAGCCAGAAGGCTCACAAGTGCGTTGCCGGCCTTTTAAGAATTGGTAAGCTCTTTTCTTGAAGTATCCCAAGTCGAGTTGGTTCGGAAAGCGGCGACATCACTGGATGGAGCCGCTTTTGCAAGAACGTTTAAAGCAAGGCTGTGATCGCATAGAATGGGTAAAAAAAATCCATTCCCTACAGGACCACCTCGGCGACAAAGTTTGCGACGGCATCTGGAGTACCTGACGAAAAGCAAATGGAACACAAAAAAAGACCGCATCCCATCCCAATCTGCTGACTTACAGTGCCACACGCGGCGACAGCTCGCGAAGTGTGGCCGTAGAGGGCGCGTGGACGGCACAATGCTCCGGACCACACAACGGATGGACCCAATGGCCGGTCAACGTAGAAAGGCGTTTTGTTTTTGTAATGTAAGTGTATGCTCCTATTTCGTCGTGCCTTGCGAATACTGGTAAAACGTTTGGCTTTCTTATTTTTTCAATTATTATTTTTTATTGAATTACGATAAGTAACATGTGACGAGGAGCGTGATGTAATTGTTGCAGGTGCTTACAATTATTATACATAAAAAAACCTTGGTGATTTAAAAGCGTAGCGATGAGTTTTTTACCAGTTCTGCTCTTACGTTCTACGCCCTTAATTAAAAACTGACAGTAAATCTTAATTTACCTACCTACATGAATAAATTATATTTTGTTTATAGAAAAAAATAAAAGCATCTTAAAATAATAAATCTATTATTAATAATTATACTTTTTGCATAATATCTTCGTATAATGAAATGCAAAATTCTATCCGATCCGAGCAACTCTAGGAGACGAGACTTTCGTATGGAGAATAAAACAAAATGTGGAATCTTATTCATTTATTATTTACATAATTTACAATATTTTTGTACCAAATTTATTCTACTTAAGAAATACAATGAATAAATAAATCAAAGGAATGAACCAATAAGGTTTATGATTTACCTCATACACTACATAAACCTATAAATTCGAAAGAGTCCTTACAAAACTAAACCAAATCTATCGAAATCGGTTAAGCCGCGTTAAAGCTATTTACTTTATAATACATTTAATTGTGTTGGTAATTTGCAAATTCTTGATATTCCGATACTTGAGCGTCTTTGAAGCCATGGCATAGCTGTGTTTCAATTTTTTATCCGATTTTTCTTACTATTTTCTAGCTGATCAAAATTCTTCCTTCTATTTTTACATTTATAGACTTGTATGCTTTGATATATTCCCTCAAGCGATGTTGATCGTAGCCGAGAATTTCTGGATTTTTATGGTTATCCGAGATCATCTGAAAACAGTTGAACCTCATTCGTTAAAGAAAAAACATAAAGTAGTATATCTTTAAAGATATGACGGAAGTGTATCAAATAGAGAATACAAAAACAAGATTAAAATCAGTCGACCATAATGATTGGATTTGAAATTAGAATACCGTGTTTTTTCATATTTAGAATTTATTTCCAGCCAATTAAATTTTAAATGTATTGTAGAACAGCAAACTTTGAGGTAAAAAATTATATCTTTATGAATATTTATGGACTGTGTTTACGTTACGATTTTACAAAAAATATTTATTTTATTTTGATTTTTAATTGAAGCATACCCTTATGTTAAAATTTTTCACACGAGCAACAACTAAATGCGCACATAAAACAAAGTATGCAGTGCACAGTCACTAGACTTTTTAATTTATATTTCTAAATACACTATTTACCGTATATCCATCTCCGCCATCAGTTAAATATATGGGCGCTACAATTTGGTATATTTTATCCTTGTCCAGAGGTACCGTTGAGAACTTTTTCTTAACATACGCCGAAGCCACCCTATTACCCATTGGCCGAGATATGTTGTATGTTACTTGAAGTCCTATAAATTTATATAAAATTAAAATATATTATATTTACACACTTTAAGTGACAAGAAGCCGTTCATTCCTATTTTTTATAGAACGGATGACAAACGGGCATGAGGTTCGCAAGTGCGATGCCAGCCTTTTTCTCTTATTTAGTGGCTCCAGGTCCCATGTTTTTGTTTTCAACCAAAAATAATTACGAAATTATCTTCTAAACGAGAAGGAAGTGGGTTTGTAAATTTATATCATAAATCTCAAATTAATAGGTTTAAATTCTAAAGGAATATGAGTTTAATGACGTAATTTAAATAATATAAATTGTTTATGGACAATGATTGTACCTTAATCTAATGTACAAAAATTATATTTGTAAAGCCGAATAAAAAATAATGCACTGCACTGAATATTCCGATAGCTAAATCACGTGATCTGTGTCTAGACACAGGGATCTAAAACCATTAACAAAGAGTATAATATTAACTAGATGTGAAGTGTGTGTGTGTCCTTCGGTTTGACCTGAGTTAATTCGGTCGAAAAAATTGAGAAAAGCTCTCAAAAAGAAAACCGATACAGTGGTCCATTATAAACCAAAAAACTAACTCATCCATACAAATAATTAATTACTTAATATATATAATATTATAATGATATTTATAATAAATATTACAATAATTGCCCTTTTTTCCTTTCTAAGATTGTAGCTTTGTGACCAATTTTCTCTTATGGGTAAAGTATTTAGTGTGGGCTATAAAAATAGAGACGGAAAAAGAAAATGAATCCGACAACGCAAAAGATGGGAGGATGACCTGAAACTAACAGCAGGCTACAACTGGAGAAGAGTCGCAAAGGATAGAAAACAGAGGAAAGGGTTAAGGGAGGCCATTGGCCGAACTCCGAGATGTACTGGCGAGAAAAAATATTAAACATCACAGATATAAAGGCTATATTATTATATTATTTCTAGCTGACCAGGCAAACGTCGTTTTGCCATGTATATTATTTCTAGGAAACATTTTTTTAGTTCAATAAAATTAACTATCTACTATAATACAAAATAGGGGTTGATCGTAGAGGGGTGAAAATTAAGGGTTGTATGTATTTTTGTATGCTACTCATAAAAACAAAAAGTTTAGTCGGAAAAATAAAAATAAAAATTTAGGGGTGGTCCCACCCTTAATATTTAGGGGGATGAAAAATAGACGATGTCCGATTCTCAGACTTACAGAATATGCATAATAAATTTTATAAGAATCGGTCGAGCCCTTTCGGAGGAGTATGGGAACGAACATTGTGACACAAGAATTTTATATATTGGATTTATAATAATACTAAACATTAATTAATTACCTGAAACCTGTAAAAGCCAGGGTCCCGTAAAACGCTCGCCTTTTATCAAATCACTTGCTGACCGTTCTAAGGCTTCGTAAAGGTACTTTCCTTGTAATTCAAAGCTAGTTAGCAGATCCAAATATGGAAATAATTCGACTATAGAGCCTTCAGTTAATTCTGAAATATAATATTTATTTAAATTAACTTCTCTGTGTTAGCGAAGTCATAAATATGCGTAATTCATTTGCCTTAATTTAATGAATAGCTATTCATTTGTGAATGGTTAAGTTTCCATATTTTATTTTTTAAAAAAAGCTTGACACACTGATATATTGGCAGATAGAGAAAAATAATACAAGATTCAAAGTGATATGCAATTATGAGTATTGAAATGAAAACACATTAAAATTAATGTCAAAGTGTGGGGGAAGGAACTATGGCTATCCTCGCTTGTTCATCAGAATGCTCAAACTGGACATCGACAAGTTTTGACCAAAACAGGTTCTTCTAAATGTTGTGACGGGCAGGTACACGAAATTTAAATTTAGTTAAAAGTTGGGGGCAATCAACCTTTTTCACAAATATCTTAAACGTTATCGATATTCCAATTATCTACGATGACAACATCTTGACGTGCTCTATCGTTTGTAAGAAAAAATATTGTACCCAATAACAAACCAAAATGTGACATTCGTTCTCGTATTCGTTTATTTGTGCGTATACATTCGTTTAAGAAACGATCGATATAAATCTACTTACCACCTTTACGTATTATAGCTCTCATATTGCTTCTTTGTATTAGTGCAATGATAGGATAGGGAGTCTTTATTTTTAATTGCGCCTGTAAATAATATTCAATATTATATATTTAATACTTGAACTTCACTTTGTACAGACAGGATTTCAGATAAAAATATATATCCTTTGTGTACGTGTATCTGTCTATTTAAATACTTCCGGTACATAATGTTTTGTTTGGTATACTGGACTACATTATCTTATTTCTTTAGCGAATGTGAAGACAATTTATTACACTCTACTGTGCACTAATATAATTTTATATCTTTAATTAACACAGGCTAGTACGATAAAAAAAGCATTGTTTTAGACCCAAAAATCGATGACATGTGTCAAACACATTCCTTCAGATCTTTAAAGCAAAATAATCCAAAACAGCATGCTATTTATGTATTATAAAAAAAATATACCACTATCATAAACTTACCGTATACCTCATCATATCAGCCAAGAAATTTCCCATCAAACATTCACCGTGAACGCAATCTCTATGATCCATGGTTTTGTCTATGTGTCCAATAACCTTGGCTGCAGCTGTATGTACTTGTTCGGCGTAGGAAGCCAGTTTGTTCTTAAGGTTTTCGTCTAAAACAATATACTTTATTAAAAAATACCTATTTAAAATTATATAAGCGAGACAATACTAATACAATACATAATCAAATATATTTATTTGATAATTGAAAAATTTGTGTTTGCATTTCTGTTTACTGAAATTTTATTAAGAATATTTTATTATTTTTGATGTTATGGGTCGTTTTCAATGGCTATCCTTATGCTGTCAGTTGACGATTAAACATAAAATAAAATAGATGTGTATTTTCACTTTTTACCGAAGAAAACTGACTTAATAACGAAGTATATTTTTTGAGATACTTATAACACAAGTGGGTAGGCATTATAATATTCTCAAGAATCAGAAGATTAATTTATTAACAAAGATTTCGGCGAAACGGAATAAACTTATTACCTTCAGGTATAGAGTTGTCCAAAGCAATGGGCTCTCCATACCAATTGAGAATATCGCCGATACAATTAAAATTAATTGTAATGTTTCCAAGGAATTTAGTGAACGCATCCGTCTGGAGGACTAACACCTGTAAATAAAAACTATAGTGATATTAAACATTGCTTTTATTACAAACAATAACGTGGCATTCATAAAAAATGGAGAATAGTTTTCAAAAGATATTGTTTAATTGGCTGATTTAAAAATGTGGTAGAGAAGAAGATTTTTTAACATAACTTTTATTACAATTCAATTTATACTGGTATATTTGAATTCATGTAAAATTTACATCTACGCATTATGCAAAAAAAATTACTTCCCAAATTAATTTTGAACCTATCCAGTCCTAAATAGTACAGCTAATATAGGACTGGATAGGTAAAAATAAAATAATAGTAATAAGTCAAGCTAATATTTTTTTATAATCAATGCGAGCCATCAACTTTTCAATTTATGTAATTAAAAAGTTTATTATTTATATACAATTATATTAAATTTTTATGTTATTTCCATTTCAAGGACACAAAAGACAATTATCGTAGGAACATATTTATGAGCAATACCTGATGATTATTATCACTTTTGCTTTTCACGACAGTGAGGTAAGGAAACATTACCGTCTTGTCTCTATGGGAATGACCACCCACAACCAAGTCAATATACTGGCCATAATCTTGTGCTATTTCCCTGTTAAAATTATATAAAAAACTTTAAACATTGTATGATATATATATATATATCTAAAGAGATGGATTTTGGTATTAGGTAACAAAACGATTCTAGAAATACAGCATACATGCATAATATTTATTTATTTACACTTCGTTACATTTATAGAAAAACAAATAACATTATACATAAAAATGATAAGGGATGCAACGGGCGGCCTTATCGCTAACAAGCTATATCTTCCAGGCAACACTAGTAAGGAAAAAACTAAAAAAAGAAATATGCTGGAAGTGCATACCCAAATCTTATAAAACAAGTTATAGAATCACCAACCTTAATCTAAAATAATAAAAAAAAATCATAAAATAAACTAAAAAGCTAATCTCACGTATTCATGAATGCAATACAAAAGAATAAGAAATATAAGAATCATAAAAGTCACGATTGAGCAGGATAGGATAAGAAATGTTTATGTAGAAGGGTTTTAAAAGATGTTAAGGATATTTAAGTAAACATTTATTAGGATATCTAATTTTATTGGCATCATGCAACAACATGCAATCTGTTTTGTGGAGAGTTATAAACTGAAAAAGGACTTACACATCGAGTGTGTACCCACAGTGTGATAGGAGTATGATTACATCCACTCCCATGTCACGAAGGTTCTTCGATTCCCGGAGCGCTGCCTCACGGGGGTCAGTGAACTTCACATTGCCGGTTGGTGCTAGACCCTGTTGAATAGAAAAAGCCCAAAATTTCCTAGAAAATTCTAGTATTTTTAGCTAATTAACCTAAACACGAAGGTGAACAAACCTTTTGTAAAGCTGAGCGTAAGTCGACATTACAAATAGTTAAATAGATCGTTTGAACAGCTCCAGGTCACTTTGGAGCTTATGAACTTTAAAAGGGCTATACCTGCTATTATAGGGCAGTTTTTGTCAGGATTAAATATTAGACCATTATTTTTTTACATATTTTTATTATTCCTAGCAATTTAGATATTAATAGTACGGGAGGTAGCAACGTTTGAAAAGAAAGAATTTTAGGTCAGCTGATTTTGTGATATGTCTTCCTTCTTGCACTTTCGGTTAGAGTCTGGGCAATCTGGCTGGCGGTAGCGGTTGCGTTCATTAGTGCGCATCCTATCTGTCCATGTAATAATCCTGGATTTTAAAAGCATTTTAAGGAGCGTAATTTTTAATTTTTCGTTTTTAAATAAGTCTACCGGACATACTTTTTTTATTGCCAGACATTTTTCACATTGCTAACTATGTGCCAGACGCGATTTTAAGTTTTTTTTTTATAAAAATTTCAAAGTATTTTAGAACGTCTGTAATTTCAATATTATGTTATTTAAATATAAGAAAAACTAAAAATGAATTTGCCAGACATTAATTCGATTGTTAAGTCTTGAATTAAAATGAAAAAGTATTGCAGTATGATGAAGCATTGCATTTTAAGAACGTAAATTTTAAATTTTCGTTTTTAAATAAGTCTACCTGACATACTTTTTTTATTGCCAGACATTTTTCACGTTGCTAACTATGTGCCAGACGCGATTTTAAGTTTTTTTTTATAAAAATTTCAAAGTATTTTAGAATGTCTGTAATTTTAATATTATGTTATTTAAATATAAGAAAAACTAAAAATGAATTTGCCAGACATTAATTCGATTGTTAAGTCTTGAATTAAAATGAAAAAGTATTGCAGTATGATGAAGCATTGCATTTTAAGAAGCGTAATTTTTGATTTTTCCTTTTTAAATAAGTCTACCTGACATAATTTTTTTATTGCCAGACATTTTTCACATTGCTAACTATGTGCCAGACGCGATTTTAAGTTTTTTTTTATAAAAATTTCAAAGTATTTTAGAATGTCTGTAATTTTAATATTATGTTATTTAAATATAAGAAAAACTAGAATGAATTTGCCACACATTAATTCGATTGTTAAGTCTTGAATTAAAATGAAAAAGTAATGCAGTATGATGAAGCATTGCATTTTAAGAAGCGTAATTTTTTATTTTTCCTTTTTAAATAAGTCTACCTGACATACTTTTCTTATTGCCAGACATTTTTCACATTGCTAACTATGTGCCAGACGCGATTTTAAGTTTTTTTTATATAAAAATTTCAAAGTATTTTAGAATGTCTGTAATTTTAATATTATGTTCTTTAAATATAAGAAAAACTAAAAATGAATTTGCCAGACATTAATTCGGTTGTTAAGTCTTGAATTAAAATGAAAAAGTATTGCAGTATGATGAAGCATTGCATTGCATTTTTTTTTTTTTTTGTTCAGAATCAGAACAGCTATAACAACTTCTGCGTCAAAATCGATTTGGCAAATATGAAAAATAATCCTAGAATCAGCTTCTTCGTGTTCTTCACACGATAATGATTCTTTAATAGTTTTAATTACTTAGTTATTTATCACTTTGTATGAATAACATTTATTAAAACTTACGTAAATGTTTTTATTACCAAAGATTCCCGCCCTAGAGACTTCCTTTAGTTTAGAACCTACCTTAGTAGCCGTGGTAGTCACTCCAACGATTCCAATCTTCTTTCCTTTTCTTTCTATAATTGTGTATGACTTGAACAACCCTTTGAGTCTGGGTTCTTCTGAAGCGTCTAGGTTAGCAGCCAACGCCGGGGCTTTCAAATTGGCTAAATATGGCGCTAGGCCATCAATGTCATCGTCGAACTCGTGGTTTCCGATTGCCTGTAAGGAACCCAATGTATGGATAAATTAGAGTCATTTAAATCATGGAGAAAATTGATCACACTGTTGCGAAAGAGTTTAAGTCTCTGTGGAGTTATGGAGATACACGTCGAACTCGATTTAAATATGTATAAACAATAAATGTAATATAGTGGTGAAGACGGCTGCGCACCAATGTTTCTTTCTAAGTGCATTTAATACTCACTCGTACGGTGAAGGACAACATCAATAGAGGAAACCAGAATGCCACTGACAGATACATCGTGTGTATCAGGCATAGAAGACTGATCCCTTATTGCCTATTAAGGAAAATAAAAGCATACGAAACACATACAGAGGGTCTGGCCTAAAAGGTTGTAGCGTTTCTGGATTTTTGAAATAGGTATAGTAGTGAAATTTATAAACAGTCACGCTACACTATTAGTTATTAGCACAGGGAAAATACCCTACTGTCTGCTAATTACTTATCAACTCAGCTATGTCGAAACGAAATATTAAAACGAGATTGACCTTTTAGTAACTACTATTATTATCTATCTACCTTTATTTAAAAGATATGCATTCTTAAAAAATACAAGAAAATAAATAGACAAAGATGTGTATTTTTAATACGACATAGAACTTACATTCAAGCCAGGTAAAAATCACATTTAACCATATAGGCAAAACAGCAAAAATAAAACGCAATAAAACGATATAAAAACTTATTTAATTACTTTCTTGTTTATTGTTATAACAAGAAACATAGACAATAAATACTACTAGTTATTGTGGTATATGCGTCATAGGTTGTCATAATAAAGCAATATTCCAATATCATACTTACATGCGCATCATTATTCAACAAATTCAGAAAATACTGAGTTGCATTCCATTTAAGCAGTGTGTACCAATAAGTGCCCTGGAAGCTGTCTCCTGCATCCAGAAGAACAGAATCGGGGTGCAGTCGTCGTATAGCCTCTATCTTATAGAGAAGGCGAGGTAGACCACCATAGCACTTTTCTTTATTATGGTCACAGAGCAACGAGTCATCAGACGTTTCTTCAAACCTTAAAAGCGCCGGTAGATTTTTTTAACCAAAAGTCTACTCTTATGTAAATGTACTACACGTCCACTTTTGCAATTTGAGTTTTTAATGGTGATTAAAAAAATGTAACGTTACACTATTAATCAAAACAGATAAGTATCAAAATTTATACGTTGGAACTTCACTTTAATTATCTACTATAGAAACAAATGAAAACTGTTAAAATAACACTAAAATTATTTACATACCTTGCATGAAAATCATTGTAGTGAATCAAATGTAGGGGGTACACTTTACAATTTAACATATAATTACAACCACTGTCAAACCACGCGAAACATAGAAAAATAATTATTTTTCTCATCATTGAAACACGATGACACGCCTAATAGCAACATTAAGAAATGAAAAAGTGATTTTTTTTTCACCACCTATATTTATTTCTTACGTCACCATTACCTTAATGTAATTACTCGTTTGAAAAGTATTTAGTGTAAGAGGCCTAATGAATAAGGTCATAATTTTACGCATTGTTGCATATTGATAAATCTGTCGATTATTTAAGCCCTTATATAGAAAATTCCTTTCAGGAACTAAAATGTTAGACATATTAGCAGCTAAATTTAATTGATACCAGCACCCTAAATCCCAAAGTTAAGCTTCAAAAGCTTTGCGTTAAAAATGACTAAGACTTGAACAAAGGAATGAAACGAAATGATTAGCACATTTTAAGCTATTGCATAGTTTCTATCGCGGGCCTTGAGCGTGGAGACCGAATCCAGAAATTCCGTAACGAAAATAACCTAACACACGATGACATAACGTCACGTCTCACATCGGGTGCAGCCGGTACGCGTTAGAGTGAGACAGACTATATAGGCGTGTTAGTCTGAGTCTGGTAGAGTGGTAGATTATGGAATTAATATCAAAGAAAAAACTTGAATTAATATCAAAGAAAAAAAATACTTCATAAATAAAAAAATAATAAATAATTATAATATAAGTTGATAAAAAATGCTATGCAATAGCTTTACCGCGGCAGTCCCCGAGTGCCACACATTTTTTTTATTTATAAGAGATAATAAGCAAACCGGATAATAGAAACCACACTAATTAAAACTATATTAGTCAAGTCGGTTTAAGATCTATTTTGATAATTAATAAATTTTATCAATGACTGGCAAATTAAAATGGCGCTATACGGGATACACAAAGAAAGAGATAGAAATGTATTTGTTTGTATACCCTCGCCATGAGACAAGAGGGGAACAACTTTTTGTCCGGATTAACATAAATAAAACAATGGATTCTAATAATTTTAAACTGTAACAAATCCAAATAAATGGTTTATCAATCGTGTCCACGAGGGAGTAATAAAATTTTATTATAAGTATATAAGTACCTAGTAGTAAATATATTGATTCGAGAAATCAATAGATTACTAAATGTTGATATTATATTTCTATGGCTTTTGCATACGTTTTTAAGTTAAGACTGCCTCATTAGGCTTTTCAACTAGCTCGGTTCAAATCTCGGAAGCGCCAACATATAATAACGAAACTAAACAAGATCATTTCAATATTAGCCTTAAACTTACGAGTGTTCGATCTCTCTAAGCATTATAATTGGCAGCAATTTTAGCAATTCCTTAAAGATTTTATCATTATCTGTGCATAGACGGTTTTTGAGTGCCTCATATATTTCTAATAACATTTCAGGGTGATACAATGAAAGATTAAAATAGTAACAAAATAGTTTAATAACAGTAGGAACTATGTAAAACTGAACTGATTAATGACTATCCGTCCGTCTGTAGTCACATTTAAAGGCGAATGTGTTCTTATAAATGCCTCCAGAACTTTCTCGTCACGCCCTATGACTTGCACGTTCTTTCTTCCTTCTGAGAACATCTGAAATGATTTTGAGAAATTAACCAACGTTTTCGTAAGTCAATTATTTTTAATTTTTTCAAACTATTCTCTGTTCGAAACTACGAAAGAACATTTATAACCGGCCGGACCAAAGTTGGCCATTTACTTGCTTCGCCTTATACTTGTACTCTTCCACTAAAGTTTGACGAATAAACGGTACGCTTATAACTCCGCTGCGAGTTTCATTTTGATGGTTTAGATCGAGCCATCGTACGCATCGTACGAACTATACGTAACGTCGTTGGTTATCGCAATAGAAAAATAATAATAAACGCATGGAATACTTGAGAAGTAAACAAACACAAAGACGAAAATGCACGTTGCATTTTCGTATAGAATAGAGTTCATACTATACAAATTGTATGGAAATTCGATACATTCGAGCTGTCAAAATGAAATATCGTATTCGAGAATACAACTAATAAACGATCGTAAAGTGCGCGGTAAGGCCTCAGTCGTATCTTGTGCATTTACGCGCGTATCTTAAACGACGAGGTGAGAGAGACACGGTCACTCCAGAGGGATCTTTGAAAATAAAATCATTTTGAAAATGAACAAACAAATTGAGAGGTCCGAAGTCATCGGCTATTTTCAAAAATTTGCATCTATAATAAACTAATAATAATAGGTAAGCTTTACCGAAAATCCATCTCCTCCATCAGCTAAATACGCTGGAGCAGTGACTTGATAGACTTGTTCAGGATCCAAAGGTTTCTTCGAGTCTCCAACTAGGACTGACGTCACCCGTCCTCCTTCAGGTTGCTTCATATCGTATATCACTTTTAAACCTAGATATGGGTTAATGAATATTCCAATAAAAAACAGGTAAAACTTATGAAATTTTTTGTTAGAAACGTTACACAACTCACGGGCACGATTAATGTGTAATATAAGTGTTTAAGAATGTATTTATATGTATATATATTTATAATGTGATTGCTGAGGATTACTTATAAACGCTTTAATAAAACAGACTCATAGTCATAGCTTTATATTGTGTGTCAAATTTAAAATTCTTGTGAAAAGTCGTTTTCACGCGTAAATATTTAGCATTCATTTATCTTTCTCACTAGTACTGTCGGTAACTTTACTTATTTGAAATACCAAACATACCAGATTTCTCAAAATGACGATATATGAGTACTGATAATGTACAACGAGAGACGCATGACGAAGAGAAGAAAGAAAGAAGAAAAGATTGCCCGCTCCGTTCGACTGTAGTTGGTCAAACGGACGTAATATAGCGTATCACGTCGCGTGTTAACGAATGTTGACCAATCACAGTCGAACAGAGCGGGAAATCGTTTCTTCTTTCTTCTTCTACCCTCGTCTAGAAAAAATCCATTTTTTGCTAACTGTAACATAAGACAAACGAATCATGAGTTTTAAAAAAGTTTGTGATTTAAAAAATCTGCGATTTAGTCCTTTCTTTTGTTTGGTGTTTATTGAACTATAACAATTAACCACGATACTTTGATGACGTCACCAGCATGTAATGAATTTAATGTAGAAATAAATACTAGTCAGAAATTTTACCTGCTACTTGTAAGATATAAGGCCCCTTAAAAGGATCCATGCTCCATCCATCTATGACACTTCTCTCTAGGGCTTTTGCGATGTATTTTCCTTGCAGTTCGAAGGTCTGGATTCGGTCATTGAAGGGAAGAAGCTCGAAGATCTCACCCTTTGTTATTTCTGACATATAATAAAGACTTACGATAGTAACCAGACGAATAGAACGGTAAGCGTTAGCACCGTGTTGTCATGGTAGCCTTTATTTTTATATGGAAAATAACGTTGTAACTTGTAACTATTGTAACAAATGCGGGGCTACGTGAACCACGTTTTATAATAAGTAAACTGCTATGCTTAGTGGGTGCGCTACCAGCCTTTATATAATGCTATGTTCACAATTGGACTCTGTAATTGTACTTATCATACTTTTATTTTCCTTTGCATTTTTATTATCAATAGGCAACTATTAACTTAAATAGATTTTTAGCCGATTGGAGCCAACACCTTTGCTTAGCAATTTATGGCATGATGTCTAGTGGAAGGTAAAGTTTTTATAGCTTTAAGCGCTCTGGAACTACTGAACCGAATTTAATTTTTGTTCACAGAGCTATATTATTATAGTGAGACAATCTTTAATATGTCGCTTGTTTCGGGGAACAAAATCGTAAAGTACTATTACAAATGTTTTAATGATTTTACATGTTTTATTTCCTTGGGTGTTATGAACTGTTGTTTTTTTTCAGGATTTTTTGCAATTCATTTTATCATAAAATAAATTATTTTGTGCACAGTGTTAATAATACTTGTGTTAGCTTTTAATATTTATTTAATTTAATTCTAAACATTTTTTATGAAATATATTCTTAAGAATCTTGCTACAAGTGCGCATGTGCAATAGTTACTCATTTGACCCGTTCGGTTATTTATGAATTGTTTCGAATTGACTCGAACAACTGCCCGAAGTGGGATGGTCGGTTCGGAGTAGGGAATAGGTTATAAAAGAGGTTGTAACACATGCGCATCTTCAATTCCTTTGTTCAAGTTTGAAGTTATACAGTTTCCGTAAAATCAGTGAAGTGAATTATAGTGAATTAAGTGATCTTTGGAGTTTTTAATTTCCTACCCTAAGAACTAGATGCACTAGCCCTTACACTTGTTTAACTAATTTTACTTTCCTGAATAGATCGCAACAACCATAAAGTTTAGTTTGTAATTCTACCAAATAATCATAAAAGTTAAACCGACAGTTTAAAAACAAATAGAGTTGTAATATAAATACGTTCAAAACATTCGTCAAAATTACCGTTGTAATGTGCGGTTGTGCGGTGTCGTCCGTAATTATATTTAACCGTGAAACATTAGTAAAACGATTTTGTTCTTCAGTCTAATGAGATAAATTACCGTAATACAATTAGTTATCTTGTAACTATTTACAATAAATACATAACAACAATGTTTAAAACATCGTATAGGAAAAAATATCTTTCATTTCATATGTATATTTGCAATGTACTTAGTAACCTAGTAATAATAGCATTACCTTCTTTTAATTTTCCTAAAAAAAATAGATTTTGCTGTTACGACTTTGTTCCCCGGAGCAAGCGATGTGTTCTTTGTTATAACGGGTAGGAAACCAGTACGATAAATTTTTAAAAAATACTCACCGCCATTTGGTATGGTCGATTTAATATTCCCCCGCTGAATGAATGATATGTAACTGTTTGAAGACTTATAATTCAGTTTTGCCTGCAATATATATGATTATTTTAGAAATATTTATGAAAAAGCGACGGATGGATGTAAATGACACTATAGAATAGTGCTTTTAATTTTTTTACACTTATTTAAAGACTATAACCAAATACAAACATAACAGCAGGTATCAATAACAAAACCATTATGATGTGCTAACATTGTACGCAGTTGCACAGATGATATGTGAAAATAGGATTACTACGAAATAGGTTTCTTGTTCGAAAGAAAAATCGAAATGCCGGCTTTTTAAAAATTAATACGCTCTATTCTTGAAGGACCCTAAGTCGAATTGGTTCGGAAATAGTTCGGCGGCAGTTGGTTGGTTGGTTGGTGCGGCAAAAATATCTTTAAAAACGCCTAGCTGTGGAACGACGGACGTCGAGGGAATAGGGTGGAATTTCGCATTCTACCTCGAATTTCGTAGAATCGAAACTTAATTGAAAAATCTTAAAATTAATTATTTAAAAAAATACAGTACCTATATGTATTTACTTTTTAATAATGACTGAAATCGATTCACATGTTCGAAGTTTGTACCGATTCATTAACATTAATAGATGTAAAACTGACAAATGTCAAGTAAATTGGCACTACTTTAATAATATCAATGTCACCTTGAATTGAAAAGATTTTTTTTAAATGTTATATATATTCTTACATATTCATTCATAGCATCGACAAGTAAGTCTCCAAGCGCACATTCTCCATAGATACAGTCATCAGCATACAGAGTGTTCACAGTTTCACCGATCACCTCTTGCTCAGCTCTGTGGACCATTTCGGCGTATGGCTTAAGTCTTTTCTTGATATCCTCATCTGTAATATTTACAAAAGTAAATTGAAAAACCTGTCAAAAACATTTTCGGTTTTACGTAAAATCTGTTGATATTTTAAAGTACATACGTGGGTAACACTGAAAATGTTTAGAACTGGCCAGTTAAAAACATTGCTAATGAAATTTTTTTTTTAATTTCAATTTTATCTCTTTGGTAACGTAATATAGTATATTGCATTCATTTGTCATTTGTTTTTGTGAATTGGTGGCAAATCTAAAACTCTTGTTACACGTGAAAATGAACCTAACCCGAGAAAATTTTCGGTCACTGATTTATTATGACTTTCGTTGTGGGCTTACTCAACAACAAAGCTATGATAGGCTACGTTTAGCATTTCTTAATGAAGACCCATCTCGTGCCACTATTTATAATTGGTTTAACGAGTTTAAGCGTGGACGTAGCAATCTCAATGATGATCCGCGTGAGGGACGTCCTTTAACAGCGACTACTGAAGATAACATCAGTGCTGTGCGACGCATGATAGAGAGTGAAGATAAGAGAGTGACCTATCAGCAGATAAGGGCAAGCCTAGGCATTGGTATGAGTCAAGTTCAAAAAATATTACACGAACATTTAGGCGTCAGGAAGCTTTGTACCAGATAGATTCCCCATACTTTAACCAATGACCAGAAACAGCTTCGCATGGACTGGTGTCGCCAAATATTAGATAAGATCAACGGCGGTGACTCAAATGCTGTATTTGACATCGTCACAGGTGATGATAGCTGGATATATTGCTACGAACCTAAAACTAAAGATAAAATTCGAGGTATTCGCTTTACGAGCCCTGAAGATGCGGTGAAAGCGTACGAAAATTCCATAGAAGATCCCCGTAAGGAAGAATGGGCCCACTGCTTTTCTCAGTGGTTCCATCGAATGCGACGATGTGTAGAGAGGAACCGAGATTACTTCGAAAAACAATAAAAGTATGGGCAACTTTCTACATTAAGCCGTTTTTCATTTTCTAAACATTTACAGTGTTACCTAGGTTATTATATTATACCTATAAAAATTGTAAACTAGTTACTGCAACACATATTTACGGGCTCTCAATAAATACGCTTTTTTATAATTAGCACTAAGTATATCATAAATAAAATAATTGTCGTAGATATTAGGGAGACATTTAAAAATAATCAATGGTGTGGTGGAAGGATTTTGTGCGTTCCCTCTAACCTAAAAACCTCCATCAGTATAAAGTCTGGCCGGCCCCTGTGTTTATGGTCGAGAAGTTGTATATCCATAGCGATTGGGATGACTTTGTTAGCGTATTTCAGGGTATGACGTCATCGCAGTGATTGTATCTAGTAGTAAACTGTAGGTGTCGCAAGTAAAGGTTTCTAATTCACAATATTTGTTTTAACTGACTTCATAACACCTGCAGGATGATTATACCACCACGCTTGGATTTCTATTTAAAATTTACAAGGACATGATTTTTTTCCATAACCCATGGCAAAATTCACTCACATAGCGATAATAATTATTCTATTAAACTTTTGGAAACAAATGGCGCTAGTAACACTTACTTCAGATACAAGGATAACTTTTACTTAGCTATAAAATACAATAAATAAATGTTAATTTAATAAATAATAAATATATCAGCCATATTGTCTCTCAAGAGATATAAACAAGGGCCCAAGGTTGTTTAAATTTCTCTCGCAACGCTGAATTCGGTTATTTGAGTAAATATATTTAAGGCAAAAACGTCATGGTATAGCTTATTAAAATTATTAAATTATTTACCTTCGGGCATCGATCTATTCAGGAATATAGGTCCGCCCTCCCATTTGACGTATTCACCGCGGTAATCGAAAAACACAGACAGACTTCCCATGTACTTTGTGAACGCTGATGCTTGAACTATTAGCACCTGAAAAGTATAAAATGTATTCAAATATACAAGTTAAAAAATTCCACGTATCTCATCTAAAACAAACACTGATGTGTGCCTATCCAGGCAATACACGTGCATTTAAGAGGAACGTTAAAGGTAAAGAAACAGACTTTACTACGATTGAAATTAAAGCCGTTGCACACCTAACGTCCCATGATTTGCGTGTGCACGCCAATTTCTTTTCAATATTTTTTTTTTGTAAATTGCGTTTTGATTGTATGTTATGTACTTTGGATGAGTAGTTGATTTAAAAAAAATGAGTTACACGATAAAGCCAACACTACTCAATTATGCATACGCACCTTATGTGTTTGATCAGCAGATTCAATGAAGACGGGGTATGGGCCGGCAACTTCTTCGCCGCTCGGTGACGGCCCGTTCCAAAGCAATGAGTGGGTATGTCCACCCACAATTATATCTATGTGTTGTCCGTAATTGCGAGCAATTTCCCTTAAAACAAATGAATTGCGATTTTCTTAGAATATTCCTTTGTAATTTGGAAAAAATCGGTACGGAAATACTTCAGTGGGGAGGTGGAACGAAAGAAGACGAGGTGACACGGGATTTGTTTATTAAAATAACTCGGCGTTTCATTTCTTTACAGCAGTAATTATTTTTAATCAAATGTGTGTCTCGCGGACAATAAGGGAACTTCGAATTCACCTCACAAAGTTGCTGATATATGTTCACTATCTACATTCTACGTATACATGTAAAATCGCACTTCGGAGCCAATTTATTTCACAATAGCGCTAAAAACGGTTTTAAAGGACGACCATAATTGCACCATTAAGTAATTGCAAGATCTACTACATCCGGTATTAATTTAAATAATACTTAGACCACTATAGGATGATTCAAGATCAAGGTATTCAAATACACTAGAATTATTTTCAAACAAATGAAAATTACAAAATCTATTTAAATGATTTTCGATTCAAAAGGATATTATAATGAATTGTGTATATATTCAGTCGGAAGACAAGGTACTTATGATTAAACTCATTTATTGGTCTGAGGGTTACCGTTAAAGACTGATGCAACATTATTTAAAACTTGGCAAGAATAATGACATAAACAAGTAAGCGTGTATTGAGACGCGATATGTAGGTATTAAGAAAGTAATTTGACTTTATTTTATAAGTATACAATATAAATTTCATTATATTTGAATATCCTTATTCTTTTATTTAATATTTAATACATTTAAATTGGCCAATTGGCGATGACATATCGGTATAATATAGAAAAGGAACATCTATAAAGGTTTAATAATAGTAACATAGTTTTTCACGAATCACAGGATATAATTTTATGATAAATAAAATTATATTATTATCGGCCACTGTATCCTGTTGATGGCGATAAATGAAATCTTAATTATTAAATCCGCTATAGCGATGCGAAAGTTAAAGAGAGGCTAGCTATCTGTCACTCAGGTCTCCTGTTACAGAGACCAGTCTCTCAAATATCTATATCTCTCAAATATATATTAGGTCCTTACATATGAAATTGGCGTATTTCGTACTGGCCACTTTAATCACGATGTTCTCCTCTTTCGTAAGGAATTCCAAATTCAAATTTGTACAGCTATTTACTCATGTATTTGTGCTTCGATGACCGTCATTCATTTGTTTTTTTCTGTTTGCGTCACTCATTTTACAAAATGGAAAACTTAAAGTATCGCATTATTTACGAGTACGAGTTCCGCCGTGGCACTAGTGCTGCGGAAACGACTCGAAGGGTGAATGATGTGTATGGCGGTCATGTTGCAAAAGAAAACACTGTTCGTTTTTGGTTCCAACGTTTTCGTTCTGGAAATTTCGACCTGCAGAACAAGCCCCGTGGACGGCCTGAGACCCAAGTTGATAATGAAGTATTGAAGGCTATTGTAGAAGCGGATCCATCCCAAACCACGTCCGAGTTAGCTGTAGGCTGCGGTGTTAGTGATAAAACTGTTTTAATTCACATGAAGCAAATTGGGAAGATTAAAAAGCTTGAAAGATGGGTACCTCACGAATTGACTGAAGCAAACCGGCAAACGCGCGTCGACTGCTGCGTTACATTACTGAACCGGCACAATAATGAAGGTATTTTAAACCGAATCATTACCTGTGATGAAAAATGGATTCTTTACGATAATCGAAAGCGCTCAGCGCAATGGTTGGATCCTGGCCAGCCAGCCAAATCCTGCCCCAAGCGAAAATTAACCCCACAAAAGTTACTTGTAAGCGTTTGGTGGACTAGTGCCGGTATTGTTCATTGCAGTTTTCTCAAATCTGGCCAGACTATTACGGCTGGTGTCTATTGTCAGCAATTGCAAACCATGATGGAAAAGCTAGCGGCTAAACAACCTAGGTTGGTCAATCGCTCCACGCCATTGCTACTTCACGACAACGCTAGACCACACACTGCACAACAAACGGCTACCAAATTAGAAGAGCTTCAATTGGAATGTCTAAGACATCCTCCGTACTCCCCGGACCTTGCTCCAACAAATTACCATTTTTTTCGAAATTTGGACAACTTCTTGCAAGGGAAAAAATTTAACTCTGATGGGGCAGTCCAAATCGCCTTCACAGATTTTATTGATTCCCGTCCGACTGGTTTTTTTAGGAAAGGGATCAATGAACTACCGATGAGATGGCAAAAGTGCATAGAAAACAATGGTTCATACTTTGATTAATTAAATATATTATATTTAAAAATATTCGACTTTTTGTTCCTCCCATACAAAACGCCAATTTCATATGTAAGGACCTAATATATATATCATACACTTCCAAATGTTATCATCTTAGTTTAATCATAATAACCTTGTATGTATATGTGAGAGTATTATTAAAGACAAGAGCAGGGACTCCACGTGGACGGGCTACGCTAGTAACTATGAGGAAATGTGTTAGTGGACTGAAAAGACCAGCAGTCTTGGCAACTCTGGAATATGTATCGGTAAGCGCTATGTGTTGAGTGAGAATAATCCGATAACGAAAACTACTATAAGGTTTCATCACTATATACATCATATATTTAGAAGTGAAAAATTATTATTGAAGTTATACTGCTTTTGGCGCGTTAGATATAAAATGATGAGAGTAAGTTTTTACGATGCGCGCGCACACCGTCATAAACTACCGACACCCTGGAGTTAACTATAATCGACATTTTAGGTTTTTCTATTGTTAGTGTTGTTTCTTCTACAAACGTAGAATAATTTTTTTTGAACAGATTTTTATCTTGTTACGCCAAAGAAGTATAACTTCTAACGCGTGTACACACACGTTTTATTAATGGAAAATCCTTATACGGAAATAGTTCTCGTTTTCGAAAGCGGTTTAATTAATGTGTATATTATTAAATAAATAACTGTCTTACTTATCAACATCAAGGCCACAGTGTGACAGTAGTATGATAATATCTACACCACGTTCACTCAGCTCTCGAGATAATCGTGACGTCACTTTCCGTGGATCTGTGAATTCCACTTCACCAGCCGACGATAGTATCTAAAAAAACACTGCTAGTAATTTCAATTAATTCAAAGATTACTTTAAAAAAAATATTTATTTATTTATAAAAGCTTGCCAACGCTCGGCACACTGATACATTAGTACAATAAAATACAATTTAATGAAAAAATTTTTTTAATGTAACAAGCATTTATAGAGGCAAACATAACATACACGAAGAGATAATAAAAAAATTAAATATTTTACTTAATAAAATTATTGAAGTGAAACTTCTTTATCGAGGTTGGAAAAAAATTTAGTGTAACATTTTTTCGTCACGCGTCACATTTTTCGGTTACGCGCCATGTTGCTTTTTGAAGTCAAACTTCTTTATCGGCGTTGGAATGAAACTTCTTTATCGACGTATGGGAGAAAAATTGTAGCAAATCGTCACGTTTTTCAATGATAGTAATAATTCTATTACAATTAATGAAATTCTATAATAATCTTCGTAGTAATAAGGTAAAATGAAGTATTTGTATTCATGTCTATGATAATAAAAGCCTTTTGTTAAACTTTATCTAATTTAACGAATTTCTGTAAAGTTGCATATAGCAGATCATTTTTCGAAAAATAAGATCATAAAGAAGTTTCACTTCTTAAGTGTGTACACCTAGTACACGCACAATTTATTTATAAATAATTCGAGACAGTAGATAGTTATATGTAAACACAAATTTGATAGACAGGGCAATCGGCTAGGTCAGTAACTGTATATTTTTATAAAGCAGGCAATACAAAAATAAAATGTGTTAAATTAAATAAAAATTATAGGGGCATAATTATGTATGCGCATGAGAAATTGAATGTGTAGCGACTGATGGTGCCAGTGACGGGTTATCCGCGGGTTGCGAGCGTAGTGATATAATTTATAACTAATATATTTTTAACTATTATGGAAGGTCGTTTTCACTGTCTGCCGTCTTTACCCCGAGCCGTAAATAAATAAAATAAAAAATGTTTATTACGGAATATAAGATACAGGTGTCACTTATTCCACGTCATTAAATTTGAATAGGTAGACATCCCTACCCATCGGCAACGAAGACAGAGGGCGTAGGCCGAGAGAAAAAGGCGGCGTAAAAAACTATTGGTACTCTTTTAAAATAACGCAAATTAATTAGAAGTAGCCTGTCTAGCACTAGTCCCAGGCCCTTTTATCAACTAGATAATCGTTAACTTTATAGAAAGCCTTTTTACACAGATTTTCTTTAATACATTTCTTAAATTTATTAAAAGGCAGAGATAAAAGAGCCTCTGGGATTTTATTAAAGAAAAGTATCCCTTTTCCCAAAATAAATTACTAACTTTAGATAGTCCAGTACGGGGAAATTGCAGCCTGCGTTTGTTCTGAGTATTAACATTGTGCGTATATACATACATAATATTTTCATAAATATATTGCGAGGGAAAGGTAAGTATATAAATTTCCTTGAATTTATCTCTCAGTGACGTACTCAACAAGTTTATCGGTTTTTCTTGAAATAAGCTTTTTGCATCGAAAGAGATATAAAATAATTAATCGTCTGCATACAGAACGGTACAATTATCGCTATTTATACAGATTTCTATGCAAACTAGGTGGTAATTAGAGCAAATGCCATTTAAAAATACCAATATTTTAGTTAATGAACACAGTTATCTAGCTGTGCACTAATCAATTTTCCTTATGCGCAATCAACAAACTGTATGATGAAAGAGAACATTGTAAATAGTGCTGGAATAAAAAAATCTGTGTGTCAGGTTCAGAAGGCTAATTACCTCTTTGTCTGAAAAAATATCAATGAAAATGTTGACCTACGGCCAAGGCAAATGAATGGTGAAGAATTCATACCTTCGTATCCGTAGTAATTAGTCCTATGATACCAATCTTCCGTCCTTTTCTCTCCACAATTATATATGGTTTATACAGTCCTTGTAGAATTGGTTCTTTGCTTGTATCCATATTGGCTGCCACTACTGGAGCTTTTAACCCTGACAGATATGGCGCTAAGCCTGCGGGACCATCATCAAATTCATGATTTCCTATAGCCTGAAACCATTATAGTTATAAAAGCTCCTGAGTATCTAATGGAGTCTGTACGTTGTGCCCAAGCTCTAAATCAATTTAGTAATTGGTAAGAGTTGTCGTCTTGTATAAAAGACATACAAGGACATCTTAGAATGGAACCTAAATCAAGTTTCAGAAGCTGTCAAACTATTTTTCGTATATAAAGTTTGACATATTTGACAATGCTCAAAACAACTGTAATTTGAATTACGATTTGGAACACGAAATTTCCCTATAACTAAGAAACTGGAAAGCAAAATTACTCTTCGAACTATTATAAATAATTCAATAATGTACGTTTCATATGGTATGAAGTGAATAAATATTAAAGTCAGTGAGTTTATTCACTATTAAGAAAAATACAATCTTATCTGAATCATATTAGTTTAGATAAATGTATAACTGATATCGTAACGGCATTGAATAAATGAGGCGACACATTATTGTGTGGTCAAAGGTTACAAAGAGACATTGAGAACAGCAATTGCTATTTCTAAATAGGAAACAGCCGAAGTAATGCGTAATTGTATAGTGACTAAACTAATTGTTTAAAGTAACACATATACTTAACCTTACATGAGCATCATTTGGAAGTAAATTCATGAACTCCAAGATCACTTTCCACTTAAGGAGCGTATACCAATACGTCCCTTGGTAGCTGTCACCTGCATTTAATAGAATGGAATCTGGCTTTTCTTTTTTCAGAGTCATAATTTGCTTGAAGAGCCTCGGAAAGCCGCCCAGGCATGAGGCATTGTTGAACCGGCATGTTGGCGTTTCTACTGAGGTTTCTTCAAATCTATACATAGTTAAAATTACACATATATCTATATATATGCTGTAAATTTTGCAAAACCCAAATATACAAAGCACCATTAAAAAAAGTTATTAATATTGAACCTGCCTTCGAAAACTTTTTTTTACTTTTTAATTTCTTACACACACATTTAAATATATATATTTTTTGTAGACATATGTCTTTACTAAGACATCATGGAACCATACGATCTAGCCTTATCACTAATAAGTAATTTAAGTCTATCCTAATCTACTAATATTTAACATAAGAAAGTGTCCAATAACACTAATAATTACAGTCTCTATTAAAACATTTCAATATATATATATATATTATAATAAAATATTTTATCAATGAGAAACATGATAGAAAGAAATGGAGCGAAACGTAAGATCTAGAATGTTGACATCCCACTGAAATAGTCTAGACTAGGTGCAGTTACCCATACTTATGATTATCAACGTAAAAAACATTAACGTATTAGAAACGAATGAAAGCGAAAGAGTTATATATTATAGCCCCTGTGATTTCAGTAACATAATATTTATTTTATAGTTTAGAGCATATTAATTAACCTTCTGTTGTATCGCTTGTGTAAAACAATGCAACATCTGTTTATAATTAAACTATGTTCGAATATGTGAAATTATAATAAGGATAATAACTGACATTGCAAATAAAATAACAATGTCATTATATTGTATTATTTACTATCTTCAACAACGACGAAATCATTATTAAAAATATCAATATTACAGTGATTTCAGATTGGTCAATTTCAAATGTCATAAAAATCCAAACTTACCTCGCATGAAAATCGTTGTAATGAATTATTTGCAACTCATACAGTCCTTCGAAAGGTAGCGCGAAACCATAACAATAACTAACCGATATAAGAATCATAAAACATTTTAGCGCGAACATTTTACACCGCAAAAACGCACATCCAATTCGATAGTTCGCTGGACACTAAGTTACATATGACATTGGCATTCTGTCTTGACGAATGACTTGTGACATTTAACATACCAATACATTTCCGTGGGTCTTGGTTGGGTTACGAAATAGAGCATATACACCAGTGGTGACTAGGTTTGTTTGTTTTTATGGAAAATGGACATTAGTCTAAGAAAGCTTACGCAGTACTTTTATTAGCGAACGTCTTAATAAAAGCATCTGCGCCAAGCAAATAATCATTAGATATTGGTATTCAGTCCAAGTAAATTCGAAAAGGGCACCCGGATAACGTTAATAAGGAAATAGTCAGAATTTAATTAATTAAAATAAATTAATAAAGCATACTATTTAGTCAACAGATAAACGTACACACATACGTACACGCATTTCATTACAATTGTCCACCGCAATTAAAACCATTATAGACTTTTTAATTTTAATACCAAGATTTTGCAATGAAGGTACAAAACCTTTATTGCAAAGTCATAAAATAAAAAAACATTATTTTACAAAACTATATATTTTTTAACAATATTTACAAAATTTCACATTCATAGTGGAGGCCAAAATAAGCTGACTTCATTATGCGCAGACTCAGGCAGCCATTTTAAATATTCATCAAGAAGATCTGAAAAAAAAGTTCTTAAGTTCAGCATTACCATGCATTTGATAAATTAAACGTTAACGTGTTACGTCTGTGCCAAGTATTGTATGAAGTATGTTCAATACTAAGAATTGTTATACAAATATTTGACGCAGACGTTTTGTATTAGCGTTTTAAGTTTGATATCAAATTGCTTTAATTGCAGTTACTATTATAAAATATAAAATTAACGTACATTTGGATTGTTCCTGCCACATTATCTTGGCCTCATCCCTCGTACCACAATGCCTGGCAGCGAGGGCTTTAAGCAGTATCTCAGTTCGTGGCTGCAACTTCGACCAACTTTTGATCATGGTAGAGGGTGGAGATAGAAGGGACGGCGCATACTTCTTTAGTTTAGGAAATACGGAGCCTTCTAACAGGAATTTGGCGAACCATCTGAAAAATACATAGGATTATTTAACACGTTTTTTTCAATGTTTAGTCGTAGCTGTCAACTCGCACTGACATTATGGCAGGAACTATTGTTTTTATTTATTTATTACAGAAATATATATATTATCCTTACAGACTATGCCAATACGATAATGTCGAGAAAAAGTTAAATAAAATATAATAAAGTATTAAACACATAATATACACAATATCGCTACTGTGAAAACTCTGCGAACATAATATTGTTTGTTGTAAATGTTATATGGGAGAAAATAAATTATTATTATTATATAAATATGTCGATAGTGTTGGAGACAGCATTCAGTAGGCGCAACGTCTTTGATAACGGGGATCTGTGCAACAGACTGGTTCTGGCCCTTGGTATCATGAATAGTTCAGAGTTTAATGTTGTTTACTCTCTCTCTCTCTCCATTACTCTCTCTCTGGCCATTACTACATTACGCGAGTAACTACTTAATATGACCAATAATTCAATAAAAACATCCAGTTCTCAAAACACATATCAGACAGATCTAGATTAGTTACAACTTACCTATACCGGTCAATTTTATCGGGATAATCAATTTCACTGGATGGCAACTCCCAACAGGCTTTCCCAAAGGTCCCTTTATAATGACCCTTCACTCGACCACTCTTCTCATCAAACCTAGGCTCCGGTTCCGACAAGGGCTCTAAAATTAGAATTATTTCAATAAAGGTAATATTTACTTTAGTTGCACATGCCTGATTAGTGATTATCCGAAAGTTTGTTTTACAAAATTCTGATCACGTAATTTTTTGGCCCTCTAAGGACATTTCTGCCTGATTAATTTTTGTTTATAGTCAAGTCAGACATAAGTAGATTTATGGGTCGAGGTCTTTTGCAGGTTTACTTAGATATTTTCGATATTTTTCTTTATTTGAAACTACGAAAGCCCGAGCCATGATTAATTTTGCCACGTCGAACATCGTCAATTGCATGTACAGCAAGGCCCAATCGACATTGTTTAATATAACACACAAAATCTTCAACAAGAGAATTTTTTGTCAATAACTAATATGAGTGTAAATATTGTGAAAAAGCATACTTCAATACACGCGGCATGATCCGTCGTTCTGTTTGACTAATCATATCGAACGAAACGCGCCATCGTATTTATTTCACTTTACTCTGACATATCTATGTTCTTTATAATCGGAAACCTCTTTCGTAAATTCAAAAAATTACAAAAACGTTGTAAAGAGCGCTTTATTAAATTTTACTCACCCAAATTACACAAATGCGGTACATATATAGGAAGCCACTCCGGTTCAATCGCAGCCACATTCCTCATCACCATCTTTCTCTTTTCTTCTCCTCCAGTCTCATACAACTCCTGGTACACCACCCACTCGGGTATGGTCTTTCGTAATATCGACTCGGAATGTAGATGCACTGGTTCCTCAAGTTCACCGCAATGGTAGGCGTATTTGTATTTTCTTTTATCTTCACCTAAATATTTAGGTGTCATATAGTATTTCTTATGGCTTTTAATTTGATATTCATCTAGATTTTACAATGTATTGCCAAATCAAGTAAGAAACAACCTAATATAAGAGCATACGATAATTACGTCCCCAAGCACAACTGTTACATAATACATCATAGACAAAACACTATATTAGTCTATGGCTGCACTTTCATTATCTTAATATATATAAATTACGTGTCACGTTGTTTGAACCGATTTCAATCAAATTTGCACACCGTGTGCAGTTTGATCTAACTTAAAAGATAGGATAGCTTAACATCTCAATTTATACCCGCAATATTATTTTATTGCAAAATATTTGTTTATTATTTGATAGTCACAATTCTAACAGATGGCGATGTGTTGAAAATACCAACGTTTCAAATAAGCTACAATTTAATGGCATTACCACCAAAAAAGCATGGTGGTCCCCATGACTGGTGATTTCCTACCGTTTCCCTTGAATAGGTTACTACTATGTAATATAACTAAAACCTTAGCCACAGCAACGCTTGGGCGGTTTGCTAGTATACATATAAACCATAGAGGTTAGTACGTTCACTAACCTAACCTAACCGTTTAGAATCTTACGAATGGATATCCGTTAGTTTATAAATTTACCACGTGACGTCGCAAATTGATAAATTTGCGAAAATGTGGGCGTAAAATGATACAATTTATCTCTCCTTTCCTACGAAATCTTTCGGATTTTGTTATCTTTCGGTGTAATTGGCATACAAATTCAAAAGCTTTACCTTCTTTAACTTCATGTAAGCCAATCTTTCTGCCCACTTGGTCCCCCAGACCACTCAAAAGCAGCTGCCGCAATAACCTAGCCTGGCTATCTTCTGGCGGTTTCATTTCTGGATCGACAGACACGTTCACGCCAGACACGCTTAGATTAATTTCACTTGTCAACTGTTTCCTGATTTTGCGGATTTCTTTCACTGCCTAAAAATGTATAAGCTGTAACGCGCCGTAACGTTTTTCTGTACCCAATAGTAAATAGTAAAACCTTTCATGACCACCGAGTGACTCTTTATAGCTAAAAGTTACCAATATGTGCTGTAAAGTACTGGAAAGTCGAAAATAATATTAACAATAACGCGTAATTCAATCCCCGCCCCGCATCGTAACGTTTTACAAAAGGAAACCAAAATTCGTTACGTAAAACTTGAACGCTCCCATAGATCATAGATAAAGCTGTACTGGCGTGTTTAAGCCACAAATATTATCAAGATGATTTTATTATATTCTTTTTGAAGTGAAACTTCTTTATCGAGGTTGGAAAAAAATTTAGTGTAACATTTTTTCGTTACGCGTCACATTTTTCGGTTACGCGCCATGTTGCTTTTTGAAGTCAAACTTCTTTATCGGCGTTGGAATGAAACTTCTTTATCGACGTATGGGAGAAATTTTGTAGCAAATCTTCACGTTTTTCAATGATAGTAATAATTCTATTACAATTAATGAAATTCTATAATAATCTTCGTAGTAATAAGGTAAAATGAAATATATGTATTCATGTCTATGATAATAAAAGCCTTTTGTTAAACTTTATCTAATTTAACGAATTTCTGTAAAGTTGCATATAGTAGATCATTTTTCGAAAAATAAGATCATAAAGAAGTTTCACTTCTTACGTGTGTACACCTAGTACACGCACATTTTTTTATATTTTATTATATTATATGTTATGTCTGTAGAAGTTGGCGAGGAAAATTGTGAAAATGAATGCTCAAGATAGAGAGATATGGAGCCAGTTGGAGAAGGCCTATACTTTCCTTAAAAAATATAGTTAAGTGTATCTTTTGTAAATATGCATGAAAGTTTCAAGGAATAAATGAGGCTTAATTGATATTATTCTTATTATGTTATGCCTGTTAGTCGAATTGAAAATGACTAGTTTAATAACGATAACGTAATAATAACAACATGTAAATTAAAATAAAAAAAAAGAAGATTAAATTAAATAAATAAAAAAATAAAAAAAGTTAATTTTCTAAAACGCACAATACAAAATTTATTTTATTATTTATAAAAACGAACGAACGATCCAATAAATGGGAACTGACGCGCGTACGAGTGTACTTAAAATATTATCAATTACATGTAAACCATTATTATCATAAATAGCATGCCTGCTTATATTTCTCTTAACTACAAACCTTTTCTCTAAGCCCATATTTGGCACAAAACAATTCTTCTTCGCCTTTAACATGGGCAAATTCAGCCGCGCCCACAGCTCGTAGTAAAATTCCAGGATCTCCCAATAGCAAAGTGTTGCCAGTAGCAGGCCAACTGTCGGGCTTACCACTCATGACCTGTTAAAATTATTATCTACTTTTATATCGTAAAACTAGAAGCAACTAAAGAACATTCCCGAAGAACTTCCCAACAAGTATTACTGAATACTCTTTGTTAGCCATATATGTCATCAACACGAACGTTCAAAAGTCGTAATAGACTGTGCAATCAAATATTATTCTTATTACTTTCGGACTATAATAACATAACAGTGATGTCAACATAACAAAAAGGTAATTTAGGAATGCTTAACGTATTTAATAAACGTACTTCACCTACGATACGATTTCAAAATTCATTCCCTCACCGTGCTACATTTATTTATAATTAAATTTAAAATTATATAATAACAACGTTTATAGTATAGTTAAATAAGTGAGGAGATCTTGGATTTAATAATAATGATTTATTTATAACCGCACCAACAAAGCTTATGTGATAAGAAATAACAAAAATAGGAAAGTAACATCTTATACAATTTGTACTCTTCCTTAAAATTAATTAGTTTACAAAGATAATTCAAAATAATTGAAAAAAGTAACGAAGACAAGGATTTTGACAGTTTGAAGAAGAAGAATTAACCTTAATTGTTTATCATAATTATGGAGATGGCTGAAAAATATAGGGTAATTCTTACCTCTGGTACTGTGAGTGCAGCCACCAGCGCAATAGTATAAGGTAGTAAGTTTTGTTGATGACTGAGCGCTAACATTTTTCCATAGCGGGGTAAAAGGGGGAAAGCTGACACCGCTTTACCTAACGAAGTCACTTTTAATACCTGTAAAGAGGCATACAATTTATTTATAAAGCGTTGGAACTGGTGATTTAATGACGTCATGGAATTGGCTGATATACCGATCGCTAGTTATTACAACAGGTATTTTCGCTAGAGCATTGTGTAGTAGTCAAGCTTCAAATAAAAAAAAGATTGAACAGCTGTTGAAACCAGGTTTAGGTAGTAACTTTATAAAATACGAACTTTAGTTATTTTTTATTATTTTCTGTTTAAAAAAAGGTTGGCATAAAAATTTTCGAGATTTAGGTAAATTAATACTTGATCGCCAAACAGTACAAAAAACTAAAAGCGCCAAATTTAAACAACTTATAACTGAAACTGAATTACTCTATTCCAGAATACATTTCATTAAAAAAAAATACACAATTAGAATACCTCGTCATCATTCTTGTTCTTCGACACATGCTTTTCTAAAATACCCAAAACTTCTAGACGTTTCTCTGCCAACCGTAGTTGAAGTCTATCTGGTGCAGTTGGGAACGGAAAGTTCACAACCTGAAAAATTACTAAATCAATTTCTATATAAGTATTATCAACATTAAGTTTATTGCAATATTATTATTAGAATATTTAAAAAAGCCTTTGCTACAACCTTTAAGTTCGTCAGATTCCTGTATCTATTTTTTTATTTCTTTTTCACAGGCAAGTATCTGATCAGTTTTCTGTGCCTTCTGTCACGCCGTCGACTTAGAGTGTTTTAAAAGCTACGTTAAATATTGAAAGTCTAGATTAAATTAATTAATTATCACTCCACAACCGCCACAGTGCCCTACTTAAGACCAATCGACTTCGAAAGTGTATGGACAGCATATTACCGAACAATATTTTTTCAAGGTTAAGTCTCAAAACAGCCTTTTCGTATAGGAGTGTGCCGGATTTTCTACGCAATGAGTATTTCTAAAAGAGATGCATAGAAATAATATTTGTTTATACCAGAAAAACTATACCTTATCAATGCCCATACACTTCATCTGAAGCAGCAGGTCATCTACAGGTCGCCTGCAAAGATCTGGAGGATGATGAGACGGACAATCGTGTTGAAACACAGCAGTACTGTACAACCGGTAGGCGTGTCCCGGGCCCGTACGTCCCGCTCTTCCGGCGCGTTGTTCCGCGCTCGCTTGCGACGTCCACACTATACGCCAGGCGCTCGCACCCGTTGTATGGTCGTATACCCTAAGGATAAGTGTGTTCGTTTTCTGCATACAATAGTGTGTAGCGAATCATAGATATGCACTAAAAATTTACATACTATTTTGTGTAGTATTTTCTATAAGATTTTGATGTATGTGTTAACATAAAGATAGGACACTCAAAACAGACTTTTAAGACGAGTGAACATATATGTTTTTTTCCTTCAGCGTTTCTATGTGAATATAAATTAATTACTCTTAGTATGGTCTTTTATTGACATAACTTTTAGACATAGAAAAACACTTTTTTAACGGATTTGAAGTTATGTTTTATTATAAATTTACAATTATTTTAATTAATTACTCTTGTTTATGAAGAATAAACCAAGTAACAAAGATAAAAATGGGTTGTGATCTATTAACAAAATAGAACTTCCCATAAGTGCAACATGCAAAACATGTTATTGTCCATACTTTAATATGTATCTCACAATCTCATTGTTGTCAAATATGTCAAACTTATTAGAGAAAAAAAGGTTAACACCTTCTGACGTTCTGGAATTCGGGCCTATTTTTAATAAAGTACTTTATTTATTTACTAGGCTTATTACCGGCTTAAAGTAACGCCTCGAACAATGTTAAAATACGATGAACGTCAATGTTTTAATAAATATATAAGCAAGTTATGTACTCAGGAAATCATAAATTAATCAGCTTAGTAATTTATAAGTTGCACAATTAACGAAGAACCTTCAAGATAATCCTTGATCTTTAGTGGAGTATTTGATTTTGTCGGAGCACTTAGTACGCTTTACATCCTTGTCATTACAATTATTTAAAATAGTAAACATATCCTTGTTACAACATCCGTTCTTGTACAAAATAATGTATATATAAAGCATTTTAACTGTTTTTATGTCTGTTTCATATATATAAAGAATGATAACTTATAAAAGTAATATCAAGTGCCAACGTAAACTGAATGGTCCTTCGATCCGGTAATGAATTAGAACTAATTGATTGGTTCAAAAATGCAGCTGTTTATACCATTTTTAAAAATAGTTTAGGAATACTTACTTCATTTTCTTCTTCCCAGAATCAACTACATACTTAATAGCCGGTATGGTAAGAGATGTTTCTGCCACATCAGTGCTTACAACGCAAAGACGCGCACCTATTGGCGGCTGTTCGAACACACGAGCTTGTTTCGACGAACTTAACATGGAAAATAGAGGCAACACCCAAAGAGGTTGTCTACACGATTTGATTTCAGGTGCTAGGATGTCGTCTTCGATGTCTGAAAAATACAATTTCGTAAGTTTACTAAATTGTTTCGAAAATACTTCAGTGGGCATAATAATATTCATATTTTACATGTGGTGGTAATATTTCGTAATCGGCCTTCACGTTCGATGATGACAATAGCACTATGATGTTCATTTAGCCAGTTCATTGGTTTAAGTACACATTCTCAATAAGAAAACTTCAAGAGACTCAAGCTTATAATCTCAAAATTGTTTTAAAAAAATAGGACATGTAACATAAAGGAACATATGGGCGGATTATTGAAAAGGTGAAATATTTAGGTTATCGCTTAAATTTTTTACTAAGTACTAAATTTCTTACTTATTATTAAAAATTTAATTTCGTAGTTTTATTGTTATAATATTTCTATATTCAGAGTTTATATAATTTCAAAAATGTAAATTGTACACCTTATACATAAAAGATGGATATTAGATTCTATGAGTAATGCCCTTTAAATAAATATTTGCTCTTCTTTTCACGGTAATGCCTAGTTATAAAGTGCTAACTAAATATTGTATAAACTAAAATATACTCCCCGCGTACAATAGTAAATAAATATGTAGATTTTTCCTGACCTGAATCACTCAAGTGACCCTCACTATCATCATCATGACCCACCAAATCTGCCTGGCCATCATCTTCTGGTATATCATAATCGTCCAAATTTATTTTTGGTAACTCCTTTGCTTTCTTTTTTGCCTTCCTTCTGGCTTTTTTTGCTCGCTTCATTTCTTTTTCTACCTATAATTACATAAGGAACATTGAAGTTGTACGAAACGCTTTGAATGCTTACAGCTTTCTGTCTTCTTCAAACTTTATTGTCACAAGTAACAAACAAAAAAACTTGAAAGCAAGCAATTACCTCATCATCATCAGACTCTATGTCTTCTGGTTCAGAATCCAGGGCCGTATCTGTTTCAGCGACCGGTTTCTTTGTTATTAATTTGGAGTAATCGACATCTTTCTTGTACGGGAACGACGCTTTTAACTTACGCACTAAATAGTTGACCTGAAGGTGAAACGTCAAAAAGACCTTGATTAGAAAACACGCATGACATCCAGTTAAATTAAAAATCGCGTGTGCATGACTACCATAGACTACGGCCCGTGTATCCGCTACATATTTTTTGTATAAAACAGCGCAAACTGGCAGGAGGCTCATCTGATGTTAAGTGATACCGCCGCCCATGGACACTCAGATTGCCAGAAGAAAGTCAAAGTCAAAGTCAAATCATTTATTTCAATTAGACCACCTAAAATGGCACTTTTGAACGTCAAACAAAATACAAAGAAGATTCTAGTTGCCCCTTCTAAAAGGTAGTTTCGTGTGGAGAAGTGTATTGCCGGTCTTTTAATAATTGGTCCGCTCTTTTCTTGAAGGACCCTAAGTCGAATTGGTTCGGAAATACTTCAGTGGACAGCCGGTTCCTTGTGGTGGTAATATTTACAGCTGCAGGTAATATTCCGAACAACTTCTCGGATGGTAAGTGCGGTAGAAGATGCAGAGAGACCCCACGTATCTACACAACTCAAAGTGACTGGTCGTCGATAGTGTTGCCCAAAATCGGTCTTGGTCTTGCAGTCATGTTATTGTTCTTGCATTTTCGCAAGACCAAGACCAATAACGCCTTATTGTAGCAATATCAAGACCAAGACTGAAGCCCGCAAGACTTGAGCAAGACAATACTAAAGCCTGCAAGACTCTTGCGTCTTGCAGTTAAGACAGAGATTTGGGCGTTATTAAGTAGGTATTTGGTTTCAATCCGGATTTTGAGAGACGTTCCCCAGTATTAAAACCGTTGGTATCGTCATAACACTAAACGTGCCGCTCGTCTGAAAGAACACTGAAAGGTATTGTATTGATTAGGTAGGGAAGTACTTATTATATTTCAACAATTTATTAAGTAGGTAGCGTGTTAATACTCACAAATCTGTTACCATCATCCCATGTGATAAAATTTACCCAGAATAACTTTCAAAGATAGCAAAGATCATACCTTGTAGGTATCAACTAACCTATAATAATATATTATGCTTGTTTATGTCTAATGTGCAGATCTAACGTTAGTACTCGTAGGTTGGTGTGTGCTTAAAATTATAGCCAAGAAAATTATATAAACATTATGTAGGTACCTACTTATGTTTCAAAGTTTATATTATTCTTCTATTTAGCAAAATTTAAAACTAACTGCGAGTCGAGTAGGTCTAGTAACAGTTTCTACGGCAGCCAATATTATGGTACAGACGCCAGCGCATCAAGCTACTACAATCTGTCAAATTTCTTTAACAGATTTTCAACTTTATCGCTAAAGAATTAAGGTTCAAGGTTGATTGGGAAAATCTGACGTTTTGCGAATAAACTGTTGGTCGGTCGGTGTATTATATACCTACTTATTTGATAATTTACCAACAAAGAGGCCGCGGTTTGCAACGAGTGTATCACAGCATTTGACACTGTTTGAGCGCCGCATTCACCGACAAAGAGTCCGGACAGAGGCACACAAAATTATTACCTATTTTGGTAGGGTTGGTACAGGAGGATAAAATTTAATGACCTTGAAGATGTCTCAGCAGTAGGTAGGTATAAATTGAATGCTCTGAGTTTCTTGTATTTAAACACATTCTCACACTGGCTCGAATTCGATAACTACAGTGTTTAAAGCTGTCGGGCGAGATGATAATTAATAACTAAGTAGGTATTGCATCTATTGAATTGCGAATATTTTGATTTCAAAATAATCATTGTTAATATCGGTAAATGATAGATAGTGAGTGATATACCTAGGTACTAAAATGTAAGCAGCATGATTGAAAAGTGTTTATGCCATGTCAGTGCTTTCCATAAGTTTATTTTAAAAAAAAGCTCTCAAGTAAGATTAAGAGTTTACCATTCAATTACACACAACAAATTATTGAAAAATATATTTAGACGGAGTACTTAGGAAATTAGAAGAAAAAATATTCTATCGTGGATACCTAGTTATTAAAAAGTTGATAAACGTTGTGTTTACTAAATTTTATTTTTCTGTGCTAATGCCAACATTGACAACCCTACCAAAATAGGTAAAAATTTAGTCCGCTCTTAGACTTTGTGTCCCCGCCGTCGCTTTCATGTCAAAGGTCGCCGCCACTGCCCATGTCCCAAAGAAAAAAAAATAAGTTTTCGGGTGCTCAGAACGGACACAAATAGATTATGTTGTCCTCGCAAGGAAGATTGTAGTCGTAAGGATAGGTAGATATTATAAAAATTGTTGTAAGTAATAAAAATATAGTTTATATTATTATTATTATTATTACCTATTATACCGTTTTTTAAAGAACATTGCACTGCAAAATTGGAAGTGGGTGATTTTAACAAACTTGAAACGTGGAAAAGCTCCAAATATGAGCGACGTCATATTGCTTTACGCATTTTGTTTTAAAATCACACACTTCCAAAAATCGAGATTTGCAGTGTCGATTTATCAACTTCTATCGTACCTACTCTAGTAGCGAATATTGTCTTCAGCGATGATTTACTAAATAAATAAAAATAATCGTCGTTATTTTTCTAAGGAATACAATTAAAAAAATTGTTGAAGTAGGTACCTACATCGTTTCTCACTTACACATACTTTAACGACTGTACCTACGTAGCAAAGCGTGCCAGTCACGAGTAACGACAAATTGCCTAAAAAATGTACCTACGCACACTGTAATGAAATCTGCTTATCTCAACACACACGCACTTCCTTGTTTTGGTAGCATAGGATAGCCCGCCAAACTCAATTTTTTTTTTGCAATTTGCAGGCTAGTGCTAGATTGTTGATTAAAATATTATTCGCGCTGTAAGACGTATGTAGTTACAGAGTCAACTACATACGTCTTACAGCGCGAATCATAATCTAAAATCTAAACTAACGTGTTCAATAAATAGCAATAGGCTAATAGGTATTTGCAAGTCTTGCGAGACTTGCGAGACTCTTGCTGCAAGATCAAGACTAAGACTGAGAGCGCAATACCAAGACCAAGACCAGGTGTATTGACGCGAGACCAATACCAAGACTGGCCTAAGTCTCGTCTTGGTCTTGCATTTGGGCAATACTAGTCGTCGACGATTCTAATCGCTCTTGAATATGGTCAAGTGAAAGGAGCTGGTACTGGGGAGCTCCCGCCCAGAGATGAGAACAGTGCTCCATGTGGGGCCGAATCTTAACCCGAAGCTTCAAGCTTCTTAGAGGCTAATTTAGCCTTCCCTTTCAAATGACCGCAAAAGTGAAAGTATTTCTTTATGTAAATATTGCTCCTGGGAATGGGCTATCTTGCCCTTACAACTTGATTACAAACATTTATGAAAATATAGATACGTAACAGTTTTTCTACTTAAGGTAATCTTGTTTTTTGTGCTCTTAATGAGGTTAAAGTTTTATGTAGGTTACGTTTTAATATTGCGTTGTATTTTTTCTGTTTTGTCTGTGATTTTTTCTTGCTTGTACGTAAATTTTACGTTACAATATAAATTACTATGTGCATAGTTAGTGATTTCGAATTTGTTACATATTTAAGCGCACATATTGTTTTTAAACTTATAAAATAATGATAGAAAATGTCCAATTTTTAATCAATATTTTGGATTCGGATAGGTATAGCTTTAGTTTTAAGATTTTTTTTCATTAAGCACCATCAAAAACACAATTGATTGACAATATTTGACACAGTTTATCAATGCGTCTTTGTTTCTTTTGGCGACTGACAAAAGTTTTAAATAACCTACCTCTTGTTGTCCAGTGACAAAAATAAGTATTCCACCTTCCGGCAGCCGTGTATGTATTTTCACAGCCTTCTTATACGATTCTTTGAGATAATTGTCATATGTATTCTTATTAAAATGTATTGTTACTGGAAACTGCCTTGAATCAATCTGGAATAATATTATTATATTTTAAAGTTAGTGTGTATATGCATATATATATATATATATACAGTCAAAACCGTTTATAACGACATCGTTTACAACGACCTATCGGTTATTACAACCAGATTGTATGGTCCCGTCCGAATCCCTAGTATACTATTCAGTTAACAAACCGCTTATAACAACATCGGATACAGCGACATATCGCTTACAACGACGAAATTTTATCGATATTCATCGGCTATAACGACCAAACGCTTCTTGTCTCAGCAAAACAAAACAATACAAACGATTTTAAATCTTATTTATAAGCATTGAATGAATATTAGGCATATTATTACCTACGCACTTTCTCCCGCCTCATCCTAACCTCTTCCCGGCCATTTGACCTTGCATACTTTACACATGTTTAGTTCGCTAATTGACTGCGTGAGTAACAGTTTGATTTAAAAGTTTTGATTCTTTTTTGACTCCTTTACATATTATAATAACATACCATATTATAACCCATACCTACCTATTATATATAGATAGATAACTATGATAATATAACTATGTACATACATATGTACTGTACTTGTGTATATGACATTGTTTATAACGACTATCGGATATAACGTCGGCAACTAAACGGTCCCTTCAATGTCGTTATAAACGGTTTTGACACATACAAGTACTTGACATTGTTAATCGTATTTGACAGTGACCGAGGTGCGATTGTGAAATAAGATACTTTTAAGAATACTTTGATATTTGTTATTGTCTTTAACCTAACGGTGAAATATCACAGTATGAGTCATGAGATGGATTTGAACAATCAATCGGGTCATCAAACCCATCAGAAGCGAGTAACGAATTAGAACTAAAATTATCATTAATGTCCTCCTACCAGAAACATGAATCGTTACGAAACCGTTTAACGAGGCCTCGGGATGTAAGTTCAAGTATAGAAAATTAATTCGTTAGCTTATAATTTGTATATTAGCTATAGACGAGAATTAGAATCAATTTTCAAAATTTGAATTCGTTATTTTAAAACCACTTCACAATTTAAGAATTTACGAATTTAACGTTCACAAAAAAAATAACTGAATTGTACATTTGTTTTTTTTAACATAATCAAACTTGAATCTAGTTTAAAGAGCTCTCAAACTATCCTTATGATGTTTGACAGCGCTCAAGACGAACTCGAGATACCAATTAGAATATAGACCTTAAACTCCACCTACATCACTAACATATTGCCGAAAAATATTTACATTATTATATTAGCTAATTTTTATGATAGCAAAGTACAAAAACTGTAATGCAATATTTTTCATCTCATTTCCATACGTACTTTAATCATCGGTGGTGGTTCCTTAAACAATCTAGTGTTTTCCGTAAAATCTTCAACTCTAAGTGTGGCAGACATAATAATAAGTCTAAGTGGACTTCCTCGCTTCCTCCGTAAAGGCACAATTCTTGACAACAACCCCAATAATATGTCCGTATACACACTCCTTTCGTGCGCTTCATCAATTATAACCACTGAATATTTGCTTAGAAGAAAATCTGACTGAATTTCTTTAAGGAGAACACCTGTAACGCAAATTTAAAAAAATTACACGTCAATTAAACCTTTTTTGTAATCGGTCAATAATATTAGGATAAATTTACATAACTTGAGAAATTATTTTAAATGAAACACTATTTTTTTAAAGATTTTATGGCTCTTTTGCCTTGGTCGTCAAAGTTAAATCTAGAAACATCTATAATCTAGAAATTAGAGCTGCCAAACTATGTTTTGACAACGCTCAAAACGTCATTGTGACTTGGTCTTGTGGCTTAAATGGAATCCTAGGTCTGTTAAACAAGAATCGACAATCAGTGAAACAGACACAAACAAAACGTGTTTTATTTATCAGTATTTCACTTGGGTGTGACGGGATTGCTTGCTTTTTTTCTTCTATTTATTAAATTTTAAATCTATTAATCTTTTTAACAAAACTATATAAATACCATTTTCTCTTAGGTATTTATTATTAAAATTTCGAATTCTTTAATAAACGCACTTACCATCAGTCATAAACTTAATCTTCGTATCCTTAGTGACATTACCCTCAAACCGCATGAGATATGAGACCTCTTTACTCGTAAGCGCTAATTCATGACCGACTCTGGCCGACATAGCAACAGTAGCAACTCGCCGTGGCTCAGTTACAGCGATCATTTGCTTCTCCGCATATCCCGCCTCATAGAGGAACTGGGGTATCTGAGTTGTTTTACCGCTACCTATTAAGAAATTACAATTAATGATTTCTAAAAGAAAATACTACAAAGTCTATGATTAGATTAAAGGACATGAACTCGGTTGCTTGCATTTGTTTTGTCAACAGGTCCAGAATCACAATTCATCAATTTATTTATTTTTTCCCCCTGTCAATTTGTATCCATTAACACTAGTCAAGTGTTTGTATCTTATTCTTATACAGAATTAATGCTCTTAAATTGAAAAACAATATTTAAAAAATGGAGAAATGATTATTTGGCATCCTTCCCTATAAACATAAAAATCAGTCATGCATGAAACAATTACTGCAACAATCCTGATGATACTTCCGTATTGTATGTTAAATTATGAAAAAAAGTTTCAACATACCAGTTTCTCCTGCTACAATAAGAAATTCATTTTCATTTATCAGTTCCATTATTCTTTGTTCTTCACCCAAAATTGGCAATTTTAATCTTGCTACTTGAACTTTTGGATCCCTTTTCACTTCTATGTGTACTGTTTCATGTGTTAATGGCTTTTTAACTTTTTCTTCTTTTGTAATTTGAGTTTTCACTTTAACATCCTGTGTTAAATCTATCTTGCTGGCTTCATTAGGATTTTTAGGCTCCTTAGCTATTTGTTTACCAATATTTGTATTACAATCTATTGAGCTTTGGACTCTGTCTTTACTATTCGTTTCTGATGCCATATCTTGACTTTCTGGGGGTTCTAAATCAGATTGTTCATCTGTTTCTTCAACAGAGCTCTCTTCTGATGATTCTTCTAAACTAACAGTATTGGGATCATACTTCTTTTTCTTTATTTTATCAGAATTCTCTAATTTTAAAAGACGTAATCGTTTTTTTGCACCTGCAATATAATACAAAAGATAAGTAAAGTTTGCAAATAATGTTTTTATGCAACATACATGTGGGAAACACTTTCATTACTCATTCTATATTCTAGTTAAAATTATTAAAAGTCTAGATGTACCTGCAATACTGCTAAACTTTTTAGTTTCATTTATTTCAGAATTTTGTTGTTGCTTAATTTCAGCTGTTTCATAGTTAAGTTCACTTAGTTTTCTTAGTCCAAGTGTTTGAATAGCTGAAATGGTAGTGAATCGACTAACTTCATCTTGACTTGCTTGTACTTGAGATAAGGACTCTAATAAATTTGCCCGCTAAAATGTAAAATAACATATTAAAAATATACATGTATTGTATGACAAGTCTTAGTGTAAATTTTTAAATGTCTTTATATAAATGTTTAGCATCTATACTGCATTACAATGGTAAATAAGTGATACACAATTCCTTCTCCATTGTGATGGGTTCAGATTATTTATTTTCACAATTTGTTTAGCACACAAAGATTCTCATATAAGTTTAATAATTTATTTAGGAATAGGTAGATATTTCAGTGTAAAATTTTAAAAATCATATTATTTAGATATATAATATCATAAGAATATATTTTGTTAACTTTATTGGTCTAAATGTAAACATATATCAATATTTACACTTAAGTTCTTAGTCAAGTTTGTATCTGTGAAAGTAGTAAATGTGTAGTAATCATGTTATCAATCAACCAAAGACAATATAAGTCTTTAAAGATAAAACAAACAATAAATTATAATTCTATATAAACAATATCAATGGTAATTGTAGTCGTAAAAATCATTTTAACTTTAATATTACAAATAACTTACATTCTCTTTTTTCTTCTTTTTGTCAAGGACTTTTTCTAATCTCTTCCTCTGAGCCTTAGACAGAAACCTAGTTTTCTCTTTCTTTTCTGTTACTATCTTAGTTTGCCTTTTTTTAGATGGCAAAGCCAAGAGATTGCTAGGGTCTTTAGATCCATATTCATCATTAGCAAATTCCAATTTTATCTAGAAATGTTTATTCATACAAACTTAAAAAAACAATAACAAAAGTTTTAACTTTTATTCACTTTCTTAAATTAAAAATATTGGTTTGGAATTGCATTGCAAACGATGTACAAATATAGGACATAAAAACAATGTCTTTAATAACAAACATAGCATTCAAAGGCAGTTAAGGCAATGAAAACAATTTTCTTAGACCTTTATCTATTGATTATAAATATTTTTTTTTTTAAAGAAACTAATGATACTGAAAGACTGAAAGTTCACATATTTAATACAACAATTTGGTTGTTTTTTTATAAATAAGAATAACTAAAATACAAGGCACGTAAGTACTCACCTCATTAGTTTTAGAGTTATCAACATTCGTTTTTACAACTTGGCGCGCCTTAGCATTGTATCTTTTTTTGCCCATTATACAAGTTTAAAAATAATTTAATTACAAGGCTTCCATTGATGTATTGACAGAAATGAACTTTAATTATATTTTAAAACATGTGCCTTTGTTATGACATTCCTCAGTGACAGGATTTTCACAAAATAAGTAGTTAGTAGACTGAATTCTGAAACGTCGGTGACATTTCAATACAGACTACAGAGTAAAACTTATTTATATTTTGACTTCTGACTTATGACTTTATTTCACTGTCAACGCCAGTGCTGCAAGCCAATTTTTTGAAAAGTAACCAGAATTATGACAAAAAAATAACCTTGTGTTAAAAGAAAAGGAACCTATTATTACGGGAGCAGAATAGTTTCAGTAGTTATAAAATTCAAAAATCAAAATCAATAATTCATATAGGTAACATAATGTACACTTATGAACGACAAAAAAGAAATATATACCTATTAAAAGATTGTAATTTTACATTTTCTGCCAGTTCTCAAATCAAGGGCGTAGAACGGAAGAATAGAACTGGTCATACCCTCTCGGCCACTCTTTTTAATAGCCAAGTTTTTGAAGTTATACTTCTTTGGCATTATTAAAAATAGTTTTTGATTGCATACAAATAATTAATTACAATTAAATAATCAACGACTGGAAAAGGAGTCATTATAGTCAATAAAGTTCAGTTTACATTTGAAAAATTAAATAAATAAATATTTATTATTATTCTCTTACATTAAGTGTAACATAAATTCTATTATTATTCGAATTTTGTTTTTAAATTATGTCCAATGCCTTAGAATCTTCCGTGGGCAACTTCATTCTGTTAATTTTGTATCATGGTGCGCGCGCATCGTAAAATTTCACTCTCATAAATTTTTCATAACGCGCCTAAACAAGACGTATAACTTCAAAAGTATTTCGCTATTTTGTGGTAAATACTAAATTGTGGTCACGCCTGTCTCAGAATATTCTTTATTATACTGTAATTTTTAATTCCGTAGAATTCTGAGAGCATATCATTTTTTGACATACCAGAGATTACAAACCTTTGGGCCAAGCACATTTTTCAATTTCAATACGAGTCTGAACATCAGAGTCTATACATACATTTTATTTGTTAGTAAATGTATCAATTTTATGCGGTGCGTCGCTCCACATTAAAAGTAGTGATTTTAGGGCGAGTGTTAATTACGTCCCAATCAATCAATCAATGTGACCGACGTGTCAGCTAAACCTGGAATTAGTAGGCAGTAAAGCTTAAGAATAAAATAAAGTAATTAAAGTTAATTCGATATGTTGTAGTGCCCTCAAATGGGTCAAATTCGTCCCTGTTTCGGTGGAGAACTTTTATAGTAGCAACACTTTTGAAATGTCAGAATTCTACTGAATGACAAATCAGAGTTTACATGTCATGACAGATTTACGTCACTGTCACTAGTCATATTTTTTATGTTATATGATTTGTCAGTACATCATTCACCCGTCACCGAACTATAGAGACTTCGCATTTAATTTACGTCAAATCTTAATACATGTACATTAGATAATATTATGTGTAAATTGTAATCTGTATTCTGTACACGAAATACAAACAATAATAATTAACAAACTAATTATATTTATTGTAAATAATTAACCCTACGTACAAATTCTAAATATTTGTATCAAATGAATACAGTTGGAACTTTGCATCTACTGAAGTGCTCATATAGCTCATATATAAATACCACACATACTTATTCAATTTAAACTTTAAAAACGCAAAAAATACTGAATATTTAATAACAAATACAAAACAGCTCTGTATTCCTTAGTGAAAAGAAAGCACCTACTATCGTAAAATGTTGCACGAAATAGCCCGAAGATGCATTAATGTGAGCAAACATGATGAAACCATCTTTAACCAACACAATTCTTTACTTGCAGTGCGTGGAGATAAACAATTGCATATACTAGAGTATTCCTACAATGTGTTATGTTTAGACAAGAAGTTGGATTTTGTGGAATCATCAATTGTTTGCCCAAGAAGTAGTTCTACATCTGAGTTTTCTAAAGAGTATGCAAGTAAAGGAATCAGTAATATAGAACTTGTTGAATTTGTAACAAACCCTTATTTCTGGCCATATAGTAATGACTTGAAACAAGAAATGACTAATATTGTTGCATTTGAGTGGTCGCCATCAGATCTTATTTTTAATAATCAAAGTGTACTTGCCATTTTGAATTCTGTTGGTAATGTGGAATTCTTTGGTCCACAACAAAAAGTTTGGTGTAGTATTGTGAAATTTTCAGATATTATGAAACACTATGTTATGTCTGAATTACAGATAGATGTGGGTGAAAAATGTAAGACAATAGAGAAATTAAAGGAAATAGTGTATGGTATTGGCACTAGTGCAATATGTTGGGGACCCAATATTAATGAAGACAGCTCAAGTATTTTTGTCACAGCTCAAAGGAATAGTACTATTATATTTTGGTCAATTAAATTTACTAATACTGACTTGAGTGTGGATGTTTTGGGAAAAATTTATGCTGATGATGAAGAAATCAAAACCTTAGCATGGATACCGTACTCAGATAACTTGTTTTTATTTATTTATGCCAATGTATTGGGAGAGGTTGTTGGAAAGGTTTGTAAAATAGAAGGGAAAAAAATATTAGAACAAGCAACAATTGTTTTATGGAAATGGAAAGATAGAATGGTACCCAAAAACATACAGTATATTATTGATGGCAATTGCTTACTGATTATATATCCTAAACATAGACACTTGGTGGTGCAGATGTTTGATAAAGATTTTAAATTACTCAACAAAGTTGTTAATGTTGTCAATGATGAGAAAATTTCAGTTTTGACTAAAACATCCGCCGGTCTATATATAGGAACAATAAATACTAAAATATATAAATTAATTTATAAAGTGACGAAAAATGCCCTCACTATTGAGTTTGAAAGTATAATTTTAAAAGACTCTTATGTAAATCATGAGCTATATGGTCTCACATTTTCACCCAATGAAATAATTTGTCATCTTGTACTTGCTAATAGGAGAGTTAATGTCAGAAAAGAACCATTGCATATGTTAGTTGTATCTCTTAGTTGTGAAGATCAAATTGAAAATGTTTTGCTTGATAATCCTTCAAAGAAGTTAACACATATGTGGGACTGCATTGAGTTATTAAGGTATAAGACAATGAAAAGCAAGAAATTACCTTCACTTAATTATGTAAATCTCTATAATGAGACTAACACAGATATATATAAATTAAAAGTTTATTTGATCCTAGTAAAGCTTTACAATAATTTAGAAGAAATATTGAAGAATCAATCCAAAGGATTATTGCCTGAGACATCAATAGAAGTTGTTCAAGATAAATTACTGGCTGCTCATGCAAAGGAAACTATCATAAATAAATATGAACAGCACAAAAATCCTACATTTAATGGTTTTGAAAAGGAATGGTTATCAGGATGTTGCAAATACCTCGAATATTATAGTAAAAAATATGAAATTCCGAAAAATAACATAATTCCAAATACTGTTTGGGAAAGTCTTATTGCTTTGATTACTAAATCTGAGTTACCAACATATAATTGTCTTTTTTGTGATGATTTGATCGAGGATTTTTCCTGTGCAAATGGGCATAAAAGTATGTTCTGTTCTGTGACTTTTACCCCAATAGACAGTGAAGAATACCTTGTATGTAATTGCTGTGAGGTGACTGCAAGAATGGAACTATATCAATATAAACCCTTATGTGTGCTCTGTGATGGTCATTTAGAGTGTTATAATGTATCATTATAATAGTTGTTGTATTCCTTATTGTTTAAGTATATCTTAAGATGTTACTGTACAAAGATTTTTTCTGTAATAAATGTTTTTACTAAGTTGGGGTTACTGTCTTTTGATATGTATAATCAATACATTCTAGCACAAAGTATTAAGCGATATAGGTAAGTATATTAATGTAAAATGCAGGTAGCATTTTATATAATTATTACCTATGGTAAATAAAAAAAAACTTCAAGGAATTACTTTTATTTTAATTAATGCTTATAAATAATTTTTCTGATTAATAATTTACGCAACGTAAATCCTCTTTGCTGTGCCGTTCCAGAAGCTCGATGTGATAGTCTGAAAAAATGTTAAGTATATTAATATAAAATTCTTCTAAATTTACACATTTATATATACATATATTTATATAATTCAACGTTTAGCCAACATCAAGTAGTGGTACTTTTCTGTCATGTTACCGTGAGTAACCAAAAAATGTATACTACATAGGCCTGATTTTCAAAGAAAATAGCTAGGTACCTACCTACCATGTTTATTGTTTAGTACAATATGGTAACTATTATTATATTCAACTTTATCCGACCATGTTGAATAGTGTGAGATAACATTAAATTTATGGGACACTTTAATTTAATATTGATTTTGATTGTTGAATTGATCATTAAATAATTGTTCAAAGATTTAAAAAAAAAATTAACTGCACCCTTCAATATTATACATGCGTTTTGCGTCATAACAAATATTTTTTCACCACCACAAAAGCCAGCGGCACCACGCAGCAATTTTAGCAATATGATGTTCTGAGAGCTTTAAGGGTGTATAGAAATCTATAAGGTAGAGAAGGCACCAGGGTTGTACACTAAGTACATGAATGTTGGCCAGACTTGACTTACCACAACAAGTTTGTCTGGTGAGTATTCCCTGGCGAAGGTGACGGTTTTGCCATCAGGTAACTTCTGAACTTGAGTCACTTTGTTACCATCTACAGTTATTGTGTTCTTGCCCTTAAGAAGAAATCATATTTTTAAATAGTTATATTATTATTTCATACTTTTGAATAATTTGAATAGCGTTATCTTATTTTAATACTCTTAAATAAATCGACTGAGTTACCCAACCTAGTATTTGCTATTATAATATGAACAATGTATTATATGTTGGGGTTGAAAAATAATAATCAAAATAAATTAAGATAAGGCACTTACAGTAACTTCAGCAGTGATTTTCTCGTCAAACTCAACGCCGCTTTTAAATCTCATTTCACTTGGTCCCGATGGTTTGTTGGTGGTTATAACGTACTCGTCTCCATCTTTCTCGATTTTCTGAGAAATCTTGGAATTGAGGTAAGCAGTAGCAAACTCTTGTGGAAGATCTGGAATAGGTTTAAATAGTAATATTAGATATATTATGTTAGTGTAAATACTTTACTATTAGATACATTTTATAATTGTTAAATAATACCTATTTTCGAATATAAATGTGCACGGCCACATTTCAGATCTATTTATTACGATTGATCAAGAGTTGATTCATATAAAAGTAATTTTATTTTGCGACAGTAAAAACACTATTTCACACACATTTCTTAAATACCACTCACACAATTGTTAAGTATTAAGTATCTTAAATTTTAATAAATTAAGTGTAAGTCAACAGTAAAAGGCCGGCAACGCACTTGTAGACTTTCTGGTAGTTTAGAGTTTTCAGTGGGCACGCGTATCATTTAACATCAGATGAGCCTCCTGCCCTTTCCCCCCTGTACTATAAAAAAACCTAACAAATGCACCTTCTCAGTTTTCGTTAGTATTGGTAGGCACTTGGTAGCTACTATTAGCAGATTGATTAATTGCTTGATAATATTTTTAAATTACCTTTTATATTTACCTCAAAACCCTAATTATAAAGAAAATATTTAAAATCTGGTATCAGAAGATTATAAACAAATGTTGCAACAGTGTGGTTATTATAAATTATTATTGTGAATTAATTTGCAGTTTCAACTGAAAATTAAATAAATGCAAAAAAGAGGAGTTAAATCACAATTTTAGCTACGATCCACTGTAAATAAATATACAAATTTTACACAAACACAAGTTTGAAGTAGCAATATCGGTTTATAATTTGGAACATTTTATATGTTGGAAGTAACCTAATTCTGCGTAGGGCCTATTGCCATAGCTTTTACCCAATGACCATACATAGCAAGAATAATAAAGTAATGAAAACACTTACTCAAACTTTTAACAAAATCCTCGAAGTTCTCGTTGCTGTCGTGTGTGTACAATTTGCCAAAGAAAGCCATTTCGGATTTGTTAGCTTTGATTATGGATCACTACTATAAATACTTTGTTAATTCACTGGCTTTTATATAAATTACCAAACAGTTAGGGTTGCCCTTCGTACCTTTTATATCTACTCATATTATATTTATGAGAACTAAACCAGTCTTAATATATGAATGAGATAAGAATGTATATAGACGGATAGAACTATCTATACGCTGGTTTAACTTGAGTATTCTCTTAGCTTGATTTGAAAAAACCTAACGTGTTTTGTCTGATGGTCTGAATTTTATCCTGCAATGATTTAAAATCACTCATCATGAAAAAAATAATTCAATATTGTTACTGACATATTGCATTTTCCACATTACAAGAACAGGTATTTACTATAAGATATAAACTTTGTGAATATTGTGTTTGTCATCAGGTCAATGTTTCCTCTATTTCTTACACTGATCCGTTTTCGGCGCCACAATTTTAATTCTTAGAATTATCAGAAATAACATTTAATAGTAGAATCGTAATACCCTGTAGAAGTACATTATAAACATAAAATGTTTCTATACCTACCAATGTTTTGGTTGACCATTATTACTGACGTCTAATTATATCATATCCGACAGCCCTATCGTTTCATTGCTATCGCTAGGTGTGTTCCTTAATCGTTTCTTATCAAAATCCAAAAAATAATCTTTGGAGTTTGGTCGAATACTTATACTTAACTTTCCACATAGTATTATATCAATTATAAATTAAACCACATAAGATTCTTAAAATTTTATGTCATGTTTATAATCTAAAGACTTGTAGACATATATTACTTCTATTTATTCTACCGAATATATGTAGATAATATATGCGTACGTAATAATTGTATTTTTCTTATAGCTCACCTCAACTTAGTATTTGCGTTGCATTTTCTTTTGTACTAAATAGTTTTAATACCTTACCACGATACAACAAAAAAACAGAGACAGCAACCAGAATAATTCAAAGATTATATATACCTTCTAGGCTTTTTTATTGTATATCGAATACAAAGTTTGCATTTTTTATCATATTTTATTAAGACCGATAAAGAATTTTGATAAGTGTGCGTAATGAATTTTTTTCACTTTCTTTAGAAAATACTCAATTAACAAAAACTCATCGATTCTGTTTTATAAAATATTGGGTACTGAAATAAAAATTAAATAAGGTTTCACTCAACTTCAATGCATTTCAATACAATTTACCTATGTTTAAACAATTAAAAATAAATTATTAACAAGTAGAGCTAAAATACCTGAACATAGAGTGGCAACAAGCAATTTTGGAAAAAATTGATTTAACTGTATTTTTTTTAATGAAACCGCACGTTGGAATTGAACCGCACAACAGATGTTAGTAGTATTCCTTTGGTAAATATTAGTAACTTATACGTAGATTCTCTTGGCTACGCCATCCCAAAAGTCAGAAGTAATTGTCTGAAAATTATAATTAAAGCATCTATAGATACCATAGTAAATTCGTGTCTCATTACTCATAAGTGATTATAAGTTATTCAACATACCACGACCAAATTATCTGGAGAGAACTCTCTAACATATGTGATAGTTTTGCCACCAGCCTTCTGCACTTGGGTAAACTTATCGCCATCAACAGTAATTACATTCTTTGTCTGAAAATGGTCAATGTTGTTAAAGCAAAGCATGTGTCATAATTCTAATGTTGTTTTGAAATTGTTTTCTTAATTTTGAAACTAAGGTTATTTTTATAATTGTTTTTTATTATTAATCTAATGTCTGTATATAGCTAATGGATAGTGAAAAAAATATATACATAACGGCAAACATCTTGAGCAAATGTCCTTATCTGCGCAGAAGCGATTTTTAGAATTCAGAGGGGGGGGGGGGCAGACGTTTGTGATTGTGTCCTACGATGCGCAAACTTTCCCCCAATCCCATGTTTAATGCTCAAGAAGTTTGCCGGTATCTGTACGCATACTTTACAAAGAACGATCAAAATAAGAAATCTTTTCAAGTGTAAATTATGTAGGAAACATAAATACAATAAAGTTCGTTTGAGTCTCGAGTTGGGCAGATTTTGACTGTCTAAAGTCCGAACTTTAAGTAAAAAAATCCAGCCAACTTATTCTAGTCAAAGTCCTTACTACTATCTCAGGAACTAATTGTTGATCAAATTCCACCCCCGGCTTAAATTTCATTTCTGTAACCCCCAGGCTAGTCGTAGAAGTAATAATGTAACCATCCCCATCCTTCTCTATTTTTTGGGAAGACTTGGACTTCACGTAGCTGTCTACTTTTTCTTTTGGCAAACCTGCAAAAAAACTTTCTTTTCAATATGTTATATATGGCGCCAATCTACATTCTGTCCGAATAAAAGCAATCAGATCTACATTCTGAGTACAATTTTTTTACGAATAATGTGCTACATATAACGATTATTTTACGTTTGTAATTGGCATTTAAAAAAGGGTTCTTAGCCATTATCTAGTATGTCATAAAACGCCGATATTGAAAGTTATTAATGAAGTAAAGATAGTTCAAACATTTTCGCGACATAAATCTTAAATCGACACAGACTCATTCGAATATCGAATGTTAGAATTAGCTTCATAATAATTATGCAAAGATACACAGAAGTACCGAATTAGAACAAAACATTGGTTATCAAAACATCTGAAGAGTTTCTTTGGTTGAGCGCTAATCTCGGAAACTTCTAGTTCGAATTGAAAAAATATTTTTGTACTAATGTGTTAAGGTTGTTGGCTATATTTACATCACTATGACCTTTACACTAATGGACACTAGTTATAGTAATAAACTATAAAATCTACCTTTTTGGTTGCAAGCGAATAATAAATATTTAACATAGATAATTCATTTTAAAAGTGCTTATCTACAATACATCTGCTTATCATTACATTAAAAGTTAAATGTATGATATCTTTGCCCTCAAACAAAGTCCAATCACAGATGATTCATCAGTTACTAATGGCTAATAAAAATGATTACTTTCTTAGCAGCAAAATTTATTATTTTCGTTACATATCTTTTATATTATCTGATATAGGCCGATAAGCAACTAATAAGTAACTGTGAGATCTAAACATTTGAGGTAGGTACCTAATTTTTACTTATTCAAGCGTTTTAAACCTTTCTGGTTGTTGTAGCTTAAGAGTTCTGCATTTGTTTCGAGTTTATTTGTTAGAAAATATATTGATTTTTTTACGATATATTCTCTCATGGTACGTGCGTACCAAGAACAACGGTGAATTGTTGGGATTCAAATATCCGACCTTTCAACCTACTTAATAATTTCTTATATCGAAAAAATGTGCTAAAAATAAAATACTTTATGGCATTCACATACGTTTTTTAATCTATTCAAACTTATCCAATTTATCACAGAGGACAGAGGAATGTAAATAAAAGCTAAAGTTAGAGAAAATACAGTGAAAAAGCTTACCTAAACTGTTAATAAATCCCTCAAAATTTTCATTTTTTTCCAAGGTGAAAACCTTTCCAAAGTATGCCATTGTAACGTTTTAAACAAAGTTCTAGACTAAATTACGAAAAACTGACAAGGCACAGTCTTATATTTGTAATTATTGGCAATTAACTGATAAAAATGTTTGCTCATGCGTTATCTTTATCGGTTAATAGTTCTGAATCTTAACCCTAAAACAACTTGATGAACATGCAACAATAAAATTACCCGTAGTTTCACCAAAAACTCATGGTCATTTTTTAAAGTTAACGAAATTGCAAGTTTAATTGTGAAAGAGCAATACGTCTGTTTCAGTGTAGTGTAGTATTTTTTAAAGTGTTACGAAAACAAAATGTTTAAAAAGCTGGATTTAAATAGAGAACGATATATGAATATAAAATATGTTAAGAAAAATCTGAGATATTAGAAAGATAAATTATGAAAACGTTATACATATAAGACACCACTTGTGGCATGAGCTAGCCTTAAAGACGGTTTCTTTTTAGCTCCTGAAATTAAAAGGGTTTCAAGTATCATTTATTAAAGGAAGTTTGATTTATCCAAAAATAAATAATAAAGTGAAAACTGTCTCAGTGTCTGCAGGAGTTGGTTACGCTTAATATATCAATATGCGGATGACATAAAAGTGTTTATCTACGAAATAATAATTTGAATTAATCATTGAAACGATTCCACAAGTGTGCTGACTCATATATTAAAGAAAAATATGATTAATTACAAATTAATGGATTTAGATTAAATAATTGTTTATTTTATTACATGTATTATTACGGCAAAATTATAAAAATTACATTAAATTAGATAGCTTTGCAGTATCGGCAGGCAACACCATCCCATTTGGTATTAATAAGTGTCTCAATTCTCAAAAGTCAGGTAGGAGAGTCACTAGGCCTCTCTAGTGGCTCTCATACCTGAGGTCATAGGTTCGAACCCTATCCAGCACCAATGAATTTTCTATCCGCGTTTAACACTCTTATTAAAAAACAACAACTTGTTTGTCATAAAACTCCCTCACGTAAGTAGCAATTCCATCAGCTGTTTTTTGCAAGTGCCTTAGCTTGTCTCCGTCCAAAGTAATTGTAGACTTTACTGTACCAAAACTTTATATTATCTAGTCTTCATTAAACTAATTTACATTATTAAATCTTAATACTTAGTAAAACAAGTATATTCTGTTTGCCAGAAAATTCGTTACATAAAAAATCGCAAACAGCTCCCATCTTTTCTATTCTATAACATGGTGAAATATCTTGCGGTGTCCATGAGTGTATTAGTGTTTCTTTTACATGAATCTCTAGCAAAAGGGATTTTAATGTAAACTGTATAAGAAATTGTTAGAACACATATTATTTTTTTACACACACCGACATATTAGAAAAAGTTTACCTTCTCTCACAAGTCAGGGAGCGGCAATTATGTTTAATTACTTAATAAATATGCTGACGTAATATTATTTTATTAATAATTTACCAATTTCATAACTCAAACTTTAAAGATTTTTTTTGTGTATTCATAGTCTGACCATGAACCGATTTTGATGTGGAATGGTAAGACTTAAGTTAAGTTTTTATTAAGTATTTGTGTATTGTGTTACTAGATGACCAAACCCATCAACCATATTCGAGGATAATGGCGTCATACAATAAATTATCGATATCCCGTTGCACTAAAATCTTCGTCCGCCCATCTTTAATTTTTTTTAATTTCGTCGCTACGGCTGCAGCAAAAATGTCGTCGTCATCACGCTTATTTGCTTCCATCTGCTTATTTACGTTATCCATTACGGACGAAGTATGAGTAACTCTCGGGTCTTCATCGTCAGCACGACGTTTCAGCGAGTTCTTTGGAATCTTCAACTTTTTGACTGGCCTTTTATGAGGACATTCTTGATCTTCATTTTCTGTGTCTGTTTCATCATACTTGATATCTTGTATTAACTGTAAAAAATATTGTTTTTCAGATGCCAAATACTGTTGAAGAATGGATGATGATGTTGATGAAATGATGGTACAGCGTCAATTTGATTTTTTTTTTAATTTCCCTCATTACATGGGGGATATGGATGGTAAACATGTTGTTTTTCAAGCTCCATTTAATACTGGAAGTGACTTTTTAAATTACAAAGGTGGTTTTATTTAGCGTTGTACTTTTAGCATTAGTTGATGCAAATTATAATTGTTGTGAAAAGGAACAATATCAGATGGTGTTATCAAAAATTAAACTAGTTTCTATACTAATCTTCATCAAGGAAAATTACAATTGACATTACGCTACCCGGAAGGAACAGACCCATTCCACAGGTTAATGTGGAAGATGCTTTTGCGTTAGATATCAATTTAATGAAACGATATCCCGGTCAACAGGATAAAAGATCAAAATAAAGAATATTTAATTATCACAATTAATAAACACTGCCATGTTGTTACTGGCATACTTTTTGGTGACAGAAAAGGCCTCTTCAAAACTGGTAAGAGTTTGGAATTACGTCGCTAACAATCGATTAATTAAAAAACGATTTTTTAAAGATAATGTCACATCTCTTATAACCAATAGAAAAGTAGAAAATGGCGGATTGTTTACAAATTTCAATACATTACACAAAACTTTTTTTTTTTTTAAATACTCAGACGCGTTTCCGGCAGCAAAAACTCACTTGAAGGTGTCCCAATGAAGGTCCCTCGAGACTCCTGCATAATCAATATCATCAAATTCGTGCGACGTAATTCAAAACCCAACCCGCAACAAACATTAGCGTAAAAGCATAATATAGTAAAAGGTTTGATAATAATAATATAAAACATTCGTATAAACTTTAACACTTAACCTACTTGTTCATTTATTTCATCTTGTGATGACATGCTGACGTTCGGTTCGTCCCTCCCATGAAAGAAACTCAGATATGCATAAGCAAACCATTTTGGCTTATATATATCTGAAATCCCAGAACCTGAAGATTTTGAATCCGAGATTTTCTTCTTTTCTCTTCGGTATTGCGCCAAAATAATCTTCCATTTTCTCATTACCTCAGTCGAATCACAATTAAAACGTTGAGCCAAATCTTGAGTGGCGTCGTGTTTTTTATTTCTATTTTTATACTCATGGTGACTGGAATCCCATAAAACACGATAAGTTTCAATAGCTTGTATAAATTTAATGATTTTTTCATTCGTCCAATCCATATTTTAGGTAATATTATATTCTTGATCATTTAAAAAATTACTTGACATAGTGCGCGCACAATTAATAATGTTTTCGCTTTGGTAGCGGAAGCAAGACTGAGTTCGCGAACAACGATGAACGAGACGACACGAGTACATTACTTGTACCGTGTGCGCGCACACAAGTGCACAATTTATTATTGAACTCGCTTGAGTGGGTCGACCAAAACAAACATTTGTGCTGTACGGCGTACGCTAATGTAATACATATAACATATTACAAAAGTAAAATGGCGGTACATTTTATTTGTATATTTCAGATGTTAAAGCAGTCACTAATGAACTTAATTAGAAGTTCTAAATATATTATTGTAATTATATTACAAGCTAATGATATAATGTTGATATAAATATATCAAATAAAATGTGTATGCTTCATAAACTTTGGAAATATAAAATCTAGTTAACAATACTTTAGAAGTTTATTATAATATTGATAATAAATGAGAAGTTTAATTCTAGCCCCTTAGGAATTACTTGCATTGGTTTGTTATTAAAAACTTTAATTGACAATAAGCTGTAAAGTGACAAGTTAAGTCTATTTTTATGTTTAGAATAAAGTAAAGAGTTAGGTACTAGTAGGTGTGCATGAATTTTACAAATTTCATTTACAAACTTTTAATATTAAAGTTACCTACTGAATAAACCTTGGTGCATTCTTACCCAAGTTTTCTATTCGATCAAAGTACTAACAAAAGAAATATTTTCTTTTCAGAAAAAGAGAAGATAACTAAAAGTATTAATATAAACCACCAATGGAATGAAATTTAATTAATCTAAGTGTTATGTACCTGAATATGAATTTGATAATGAGGGGTCAGGTATTTGATTATATGTATATCAGTTCTACAAATATATGAGGGACATTGTATTTTATGAATAATGTAAAAAATAAGAGGAGTGGAGTAAGAATTAATGTTTGGTTAAGTAACATTACCTCCAGAACAGAAAACCGTTACTACTCAAACTATGTCCTTCCAAAATGTTTTACTTAATAAGTTCAGTAGTTTTAAGAATGAGATATTTATTACAAATAAATGTATTTGTAAATTTTGGGAAGAATATATCTTTACAATAACTATTATTATTTACAATAGTTGTGTTAAGGAAACAATCACTATTTTTTTAAATGGCCCAGGATGTATCTTATCCTAGTAACTGGAGAGCTTTTTCTATGTTATCATATGCACTATATATAACCTAACAAAGTACCTTAACAATTTTATGAAATCATCACAACATCTATCGTTACGTTTTATGTATTGGCTTTTTTTTTAATAGAACAAAATGCAAACAAAATATTAAGTTTTGACGCTGCCCATTATCTCTCACGTTTATTAGTTACCTACTTATAATTTTTCGGTTTTTAACTACCTACATGTTTAAAAATTAATACATCTGTATTAATAATGCATTTGATTCACCTGTGTGTGTATTTTAGTAGTAATAATTCTATTGTGTGATAAGTTATTATACTTGCTTATTTTCCTATTTACACTATTTTATTTTTTATTTAGAGGCATGTTTCTTCCTTAACATGTTGTATAAGTTAAGGAACAAACATTAAATTATTTTAATAAAAAATTACTATGAATGAAACATCTTCTATTTTACTACCTATATGTTTAACGTAAATCAATTCCTAACTATCAGTAGGTACTGGTCATATTTGCATTGCATATACATTATACAATATATTTTGTTTGTTTCACCAGATTATTGGTATAGTTAAAATGGTAATGTGAACCACTTCAATGGCTGTTCATACTTTAAACAAGATAATGGTAAATAAATGCAATTGCCAAAAATAAAACTATCAAATACACATAATATACAATTTTTAATTATTCCTTACTGAAACAAGTCTTGCATTCACATATAAACTGTTAGCAATTCTTGATATAAACAAAAGTTAATTGATAATATTAACTTATAATCAGCATGAATATTTAATTTATAGGTATCTAAAATGTTGGAGCACCAATATCAAATCATACCAGACCAGGTTTTTATTTTATATTCTTTATTAATCCCTTTTTTCCATTTAATTGAGTACTTGCAAACAGCAATACATATACATTGTCACTATCTATATAAGTAAAAGTAGGTTTTAAGCAAACTTTTATAAATCACTACTTAACTTAAACTGAAATTGGATTTATCAGTATACATAAACATAGACAATTCAAACTAGTAGCAAATAACTAACTGAATTTTATCAACCGCTAATCAATTTTCAAAACTCTTTATTAATCAAATATCAATCCGCAGCACTACCATCTCTATTGTTTCTTCAAAGCGGTAACTTAATATGTTGCTTCTTAGATTTGCAGATTAGTTGCTGTGAAATCAAATTCAAAAAATATAAAAGTATGAGTAGGTCTTGCAGTTTCAAAATATTTTCTTTTTGGGCAAGCACTTAAATTTGATAAAAATAAAAGGAGTGGCGTGCCAAATTCCAATCTTGTAATAAGTTATCGTTTGGCCTAATTATTGTTCTGTTTATTTTGCTACTAAATAAATATGAGTTAATTCGACGTTCCTAATCTTTCATTTAATTATTACGCTACTGTAGGTATGCCAAGGATTTTCGGGCTAGGTTTTAGGAGATTGAAAGGAATAGACACAATACATGTTTGTGTGTGCTCTTAAGCATTTTCTTAACTTACTCAGTCTTTAACTTCTGTATCAGTTTCATTGATAAATTTCCTTCTATCGACAAACATCGATTTTTAAGGACTCATCACGATTTCTGCTTTACTTTGACTTAAAGTCCAGCCGGTGGATATATGTATTAGTAAAAAATATTTTAAATATATATTTAGTTTTTATATATCTTAAATATATATCTAAAACACGCCCACGGACTATAAAATGTCAGTATATTTGTTTATACTACGATGGGTTCCTATTTCCTGACATTTTTTAATTTTATCTGAATATGAATAAATTATTAACGTCCTCTCACTGAATTATAAAGGCAACATACAATGGTTAATAAAACGTACTTTCTACGGACAACTATTTGTACATGAAATTGAAAATCGCGTACCTATATGAAATTCAACCCCTTTGACATTTATTTATTGCATACTATCTGAAATAAAAAAGAATCTTTACATTTATATTTAATATTGGGTTTTGTTATATCAGTAGGTAAGTAGTGCAGCTGATAGAGTTTTTAAATTTGGAATTATTATTATTGTATTTAGGTAATAGTAATTCGTTTTTTAATTTTCTACGTGTTGAATTATAGTGATAGTGAGTTTTAATTGCTTTAAGGACATTGTCTATAAAGTAGTTTTTATTCAATAATCCTAGCTGCACTTTCTCTTGTATAAATTAAAAAAAACCAAATAGTTTCTTGTAGTCCTCTTTATATTGTGATTTTAATTAGTTAGGAGCTATGCAATAAAAACAAACTTTACGTATTGAGTTGTCTAGGAAGGAAGGTGCTGCTCTTCCTGCGACCAAAAGGGAGGATCCTCGACCAGTCTAACCACTGATTGCCTCGATAGCTTCAGCCTTCAATGGCTAAGGTCGAGTAGTTGTATGTATCCTTAGCGGTAGGAATAAATTTGTTAGCGCGTTTTAGGACATAACTGAGTTTCATCATCGGACGTCGAGGCAGAATACGAAATTATCCCGTATCATCTCGTATCATCTCGAAGTCCATCGTTCCACAACTAAGCGTTTTTAAGGCATTAAAAGAAAAGAGCGTACCAATTCTTAAGGCCGTTAACGCACTCGCGCACCCTCTGGCATGTGAGTGTCCATGGGCATATCAAATAACGTCATCATATTATTTGTAGGGGTCGCCACAGAGTGTATTAGAAATCGTGGTTAGCGGGAAACTAAATAATACTACCGAAAATCAAAAATACCTAACCTAACCTAACGTGGAGGTAACGCGGGTGGTGCTGGGGAGCGGGCCCCGGCTCGTCCATAAATATTATGAGGATATTTCCGGAGTAGTTGTCGCCGGGGCCCGACGCGAGACGCCAACCCTTTAGTTAATTAAGTCCCTTTTTAGGAAAGGGGAGATTTCGACACTCCCCTGCTGCTTAGCTTCTCGGTCACGTATCTGCCTGATAGGCTATGATGTAGGGGTCCCTGATTATAAAAAAACCTTACATTGTGTTAGGAACATTGCAACTGATGTATATATGACTACTACCGTTCCCATGATTTAACCCGCGTTAATTCAGGGTAACGTAATATTATCTAGCCTTCATCAATAAATGGACAATCGAAGATAAAAATAATGGTTCATTTCGAACCAGTAGTTCCTGAAACGAGCGCGTTCAATAAAAACACTCTTTAGCATTATAATATATAATTATCTAAGTAGAATATTAAGGGTACGTTTTGTCTCTGCCACAAACATTTTTAAAGAAATAAAAATATGAACATGCTGATTCTTTTGGAACGAAGTTCCTTATCGCGCGTTGCGAAAGGGGCTAGACGGAAAAATTAAGACGGAAAGTTGTAACGAAACTTTTTTGCTATTTGCTATTGTAATACATCGGTTCTCGTCCTATCACCGAAGTTAAGCAACGTCGGGCGAGGTCAGCACTTGGATGGGTTACCGCCTGGGAACACCTCGTGATGTTGGCTTTTTGAAGTTATACTTCTTTAGGCGCGTTATGAAAAATTGATGAGGGTGAAATTTCACGATGCGCGCGCACCGTGACAAAATTTAACACAATGAAGTTGCCCACGGAAGATGCTACGGCATTGGACATAATTTAAAAACAACATTCGAATAATATTAGAATTTATGTTACACTTAATGTAAGAGAATAATAATATTTATTTATTTAATTTTTCAAATGTAAATTGCACTTTTTTGACTATAATGACTCCTTTTCCAGTCTTTGATTATTTAATTGTAATTAATTATTTGCATGCAATCAAAAACTATTGTTAATAATGCCAAAGAACTATAACTTCTTACGCGCGTACATAAGTACACGCACCCTTTTTTTTTCGTAGGGATAAGAAATGAAAATTATTTTTGGATCACTTAACTAAATTAGTCTTGTTGGAAGGAAGTTTTGGAGCGAAGTTATCGCGCGTTGCGAAAGGGGGCTAGATGGAATAAATTAAGACCAAAAGTTGTAACGACACTTTTTGCTATAGTTGTTCTATTTTATATTTTCGATAAAGCTATCGCCAACGTCCATACCACGTTGAATACACCGGTTCTCGTCCGATCACCGAAGTTAAGCAACGTCGGGCTTGGTCAGTACTTGGATGGCTGACCGCCTGGGAACACCTCGTGATGTTGACTTTTTTTACGTAGCGATAAGAAATGAAAATTAATTTTGGAATCACTTAACTAAATTAGTCGTAGTAAACGTACACCAGAATCCATGTACAATAATAATTGCGGGGTCCCTTGTTTCCTTGCAAAATACAATACCTTTAAAAAATATTAATTATAATTTATAAAAAATAATGTTTCAGGAAAATGTCATGAAATTCTGCGAATTCAAAAATTAGCGAACTAATATCAAAACGAGAACAGCTTATACAAGGAGAAGAACCAGATGAGACTGAATTAAAACATCTGAACCACGAAATACGAAATATGCTTATTAATTGTGCCACTTAATTTATATTTAGGTTATTTTACTATTTAATCGCTGCGTAGCACAACGACATCATATTTCTTCCTCTTTTAGAATCCTGGTCTCTTAAAACTTAAATAGAAGATGAAATATAAGATTGGTGTCGAGAAAATCTATCATACTGTTATGATACCAATCGAAAGAAATTTCGTTCCATCCGGGTGTCCCTTGACACCTCTCAGTTTTTTTATCTATATTTTGTCAAGTCATTTTTGGTAAACTATTCTGGCCCGTATACCAACAAATAAAACAAAGATTTAACTGGTTTCGCTATAGGTATCCTTTATTAACTTCATTAAAATGGAACTCGTTTTAATTAAGGTAATAAAATTTTGTACATAGATAAAGGGACATAATATAAATTTTGTAGGAAATTTTCTACATTTTTGACCGTACTTATTCAAGAGGTGACTTTTGGTCTACGAATCTTAAAACTTAATCCATAATTATTAGTCTACAGCTTCATAAACTCTTATACAAGTTCCGTCCCATCCGTCGGCGGTCGTAATCTGAAAAATAAAATACATTATTTTAATAATAGAATCAAGATGAAGGAAATACATTTATTTTTCTTTTAATTTTCGTGTAGTTCGTGCTTAGACTAAAACCTATTTATTATCTTAGGAATTTAAATTCAAATTTGTTTTGGAAGCATTCCTAAACTGAAAACTTTTTGAAACTGGCTGGAGATATTACACGGGTGTGTGCGCAGACAGTTGCATGCGTTATGAAAGCTCTATTCTAGACTAGACTAGATAGACTTTCAATCCTCTGAACTTTTGAATACTCATCCTAAGTATGACTTCCGTACTCCGGTAATAAAAGTCAAGTGTAATACGTTTTTATCATATTACTGTCTCTGACTTTTATAAGCTTTACTAGCCGACCCGGCAAACGTTGTTTTGCCATGTATATTATTTCTAGGAAAATTTTGTTTAGTTCAATAAAAGTAACTAGGTATCTACTATAATAAAAATAAGGGTTGATCGTAGAGGGGTGAAAATTAGGGGTTGTATGTATTTTTGTATGCTGTATCATAAAAAAATAAAAACAAAAAAAATTGTCTAAAAATAAAATTTTGGGGTGGACACCCCTTATCACTTAGGGGTTTGAAAGATAGATAGTAGCCGATGTTCAGACTTACTGAATATGCATAAATAATTTCATAAGAATTGGTCGAGCCGTTTCGGTCTTCGGAGGAGCATGGGAACGAACATAGTGACACGAGAATTTTATATATATAGAGATTGGACAGATGTTTACGACACCTGGGAGGATAACTGAAATACAAAACGATAGCACGTTCTGTTTAATTGTAATTGGTCAGAAGCATCTCCAGACACACCAGACACACAGGACATGCGACATGAAACGTCACATTACCTCCAAATGTCCAATCACAATCTAACCACAGTACCATTCTTCGTTTTACATTCTCGCCTCCAGTTTTGTAAGTTTGTAGTTACCGGTAAATAAATTAAGCAAGCTTTCGAATGTTACTTGTGTATTTCATTTATTATACATTTATATGTATAATAAATATAATTCTTATGAATAGTTAAGTTAGTTTAGTTTAATCAATTAAATTTAACTTACTACAGTAAGGGTACTGTCAGTGAATTCTCTTATATGTTTCGATTTCTTTCCACTTGGATCCTTCTGGATTTGTATTAATTTATTCCCTTCTATTTTCATCTCTGATTTGACCTGAAATGTGTCATTTTACTGTTACTCTTGTGATTTTATCGTCCTAAGGTTTAGTTCAAGAGAAAATGTAATTTCGACTTGGGGTCCTTCAAGAAAAAAGGGTATCAATTCTCAAAAGGCTGGCAACACACTCGCGAGCCCTCTGGCATTGAGTGTCCATGGGTGGTATCATTTAACGTCAGGTCAAATAGCCACCTGCCTGTTTGCCCCCTGTTCTATATAATAATAATAATAATTCTTATGGTTTGGTTGGTTGGTTTAGGTACGTGATGTGACTTACCTATTTAAGTTGAAAAATAAAACTTTAAATCGAATCGTATATAACCTATATCTAGGTATTTTATGAAGCTTCTTTACTATCGATATATCATAGTCTAGTATAGATTTCCAGTGTTGGTACCTGATTGTTCATTTAATTTGACAAAACTTTACTAAGTAATAACGCGTACAACAACAAATATCTCCTAGATCTTAAATTTTTTTACTATCAATTGCAAATGCAATTTATACAATAATTATACAAAACATTCTCAGAATCGTCAATACAAATTGTTATATTATTATTAGGACTGACACCTGAGTATGACGCATGGCTGGCCATCCGTCATACCTACTCGTGAACGAGTGCTACTTGTGGTGACTGGTCGTACTTGAATTCGTGTTACATGCGGTGATATTAGTTATTTCGACTATATGTTTGCGTGTTGTTCCCACGAGAATGTAAGTGCGTGCTTCTATTTCACCATGCCTCCTGCTGATAGAGGACAAATGTTTGTTTTTTATTTATGTTATTATTATTAATTACTTAAGATGTCATGTGGAACATAGTTTAATGGTTGCAGCTCCTTACAAACGTGTAAAAAAATAACATGGCGATTAAAAAGAGTGCGGAGAGTTTATTGCCAGTACTTCTATTCTGCTCTACGCCCTTGATTTGAGAACTGGCACTAAATGTAAAATTAGAAGCATTTAAATACATTTCTTTTTTTTGGCGATTATAAGTGCACATTGTGTTACCAATACGATTAAATGATTTTTGAATTTTGTACAATATGTACTTTACTGCTGTATAGAAAGAAATTAAGAAAACGTTTCAATTTAGTGTGTTTTTTAATCTCCCAGAACCAAAGACCCAGGGCATGCAACTGTACCACACGGAATAGTAAAGTACTTATTTACTTTCCGATCACTATTAAAATAAAATTATTTAATTTTCGTTTTACGTACAAAATAAACTCTTAAATACCGACATAATACCACTAGCCTTTTTCGCCTATTCAGTCCCTTCAGTTACCTTAACACCATCAGGTCTGTCTTCCTCATACTCTTCGCTCAATCTGAAGGTAGTCGTGACGTTTCTTATCGAAGTTGTGTGTATCAGTGTGTAGGAACCATCTTCATTCTTCGTTAGTTCAGTAACTGGTGATACAGACATCACCAGCTTTCTGGATAATAGGCCGACGCCTGGAAATGCAAGTTTACCATGAATATAAAGAAAAAAGATTTTTAGATATATATACTGTTCTATTAATAATAATCCACTGGCACCTCTGATCATTATTTTATTTTTATAGAGAAGTCGTTTCCAAATAATGAGTCAAATTTAACGCCTCCAATTTTCATACCTAGCCGCTTAGCTTATCTTCTAGGGACTGAATTTCATAATGCGTTAAATATACTTAATAGGTTAATAATAATAATCCAGTGGCGCTACAATTCTATATGGATATCAGGGGCAACCGTTTCATCATCCGATCAGCTTTCTGTGCCTAACCCATGACCAATTGGGTTTTAAGACATGTCAATCCTCACGATGTTTGTCTTCATCATAAGAGTAAGTGATAATTGCGTACATAGAAAAATATGTGCTTTCTACAAATTATTTTTAATCATAATACGATACAAAAATTCCATTATTGAAGCTGTCGGATATGAAACCAAATTTATTTTATTATTGACATCAAACATAAAAAGTCCATACTTTTATAAATAAAATATTTAATTTTAATTTGAAGCGCGAAAATAATTAAAATTATTGCATTTATATCGCTAATAAAGATATTATTGTTAATTTTCTTCACTTCATTCACGACATTTCTGGTACAAGATTGTCTCTCGAGTCTCGGTGTAAATTTTCACCAGATCTTCAATTACTGAATAGATAGACGGTCGATATTATAATAATTTGATGGTATAAACAGTTAAATATTAATAATAATTACCATAAAGTTTAGCATAGGTTAAATTTTAAAACACCGTAAGAAACTATTTAACGCATAGTTAGCAATAATATGCATATATATTATGTATCCAAAAGTTGTAATTTGTATGTTGAAATGTTGAAAAGTTTGAGTGATGTTTTGACTTATTGACCGACTTTTATTTAAATTCGTGTAAATTTAATATGTTAATACAGTACTTACGTCATTTTCACTAATGTATATGTAAATTGTAATAGAGGTAAACATAGTGAATACTAAAGGTTTTGAAGTTTTATTAAATTAAATATAGGTAACGCTTTAAGTCTCAAATAGGTTCCGTTTTAGAAAATATTCACGTTCTATACTTACAAACGTAATTCAATATCGTAAAAATTAAAAATCCCGACAACCTGGACATATCTTGAATGAAAATATACACTGCATTAAAAAGAGTATGACAACTTTAAAATCTAATCAAGCCTTCGATTGACGACGATGGAGGTCCGACCCCATTCCAACATCTAAAAATTGATCATGTTTCTTTATTCTTCTTTCGATTTTTAAATGTAAATCAGTCCAGTTTCGCGATGTCCTTCACCAAAGATTTTAACGCAGATGGTATAAAAACCTATTGGTACTTTCCCGGGTTTGGCTCGCTTAACTAGTCTATAGGATTTCTACTCTTTAATTTCTTTAAATTTTAATTAGCTTACTAATATTAGTCATAGGTCGCTTGCCTTTCTTCCTTTAACCGCAGGACTACGTTGATAACATTTTCTTTTTATAATTTCAAATAGGTATATTAGTTTGTATGATTTTAAGAGCGACCGGCTCATTAATCAGCCGGTCTAATAATTTTAATCGTATAAATACGATCCTAGATCATTAATCTTTTAAAACTAATCAATCAACAATCGATCAAATAATTTGACTTGTTGACTGTAATTAATTTATACCTGGGATAATCCATAATTCATAATAGATCTACTAACTTACGCTGAGACAAAATATTTTTGTGAGTATTATTTACCTAAGTATGGATTCGTAGAAATAACATTGTTATTAATGGTTTACTTAGGCTGGCCTAGTACCAAAGTAGCTCTTCACCAGCTATTTTCTGTGTTCCAGCCATTTGAGAGGTGGAAGTAGAATTACTTCACCTTGGAAATCGGGGTTTCAAGTTCTCATTCAGGAAGATCTCGGTGCCGTTTTACAAAATCGAACCGACGCCATTCAATTACACTTATTGTGAGCCATCTATATACATACATATACTTTATTTCAGTAATATTTTCTTCTTCTTCTTCAGTACCATCATGATGGTACAAATGGACAAATGATAAGACAGTGATATCGTAATGATACAATTGTTTTGGTACAAAGTTGTTGAAAACGACTAGGGTGTCATTGTGACTCCGTTATCATACAATTATTGTAAGATCAGATTCTGATAATAGCCATTTCAGTTAATTACTAAACCACAAGTCGTATTTTTTTATTTAGCATCGACTTTTCATTTTAAAACCAGTTTTAAATTTTTGTTTGTCTTGTCTGTAAAAAAAATTATATACAAAAACATGAGTAATAATTATAAAAAGCATGGTTGTTTTTCTAAAAAAAATTCATCCATCATGTTTAAAATTGCTGTTTTTTTTAAAACATTGATTGACAGGTACCGCGAACTCGACCAATTTTCGACATTTTATTTTTAATACCGACGCTATTTCCTTATTGATAAACGGCTACTTCTAGCTCCTGTTTTGATCGATGTTCTTATAAACTACGCTTTAACCATATTATATCGGGTTGAGAGAATACTTAAAGTATGATTTATGATTAAAAACTATACAAGAAACGTAGACTTAATTCAAAAAAGAGTGCTTGCGAAACCAGACAAATTGTGGAATAAAGAAACATTTTTTAATCAACAACAGAGCTGGCGCGGCTTGTGAAGCGGCTGAACAAGCTAAAGCATGTAAATACAGGGGTCTAGGCTCCGAATATGATTGTGTTCCATTCGGTGTCGAGACCCATGGTCCTTGGGATCCTAGCGCTATAAGGCTTTTTAAAGAAATAGCAAAAAGGTTAGTCGACATCATAGGAGACCGAAGAGCTGGCAGCTACCTCGGACAAAGATTTAGTCTAGCTATTCAAAGGGGGAACGCTACCAGTATCTTCGGAACCTTGTCTAAAGGGACTCCTGTTAATAATATATTTTAGTTATTATATTTTAAGTTTCTGCTATTAATTATTTGATTTAAACTTATATTTTTAATCTAAACTCAATAAATTTTACACGTCTCGTGATTCAACATGATATTTATTGTCTGATTATTGTTAATTAATGTATAAACGTCTGTAAATAAGGTATTTTTAGTTAAACATAGTGGAATAAGCATCAATATGTGGAAGCATAGCATAGCACTTTATAGCATGTTGTCGGCCTTGTTGTAAAAAATGTGAATATTTTCCACTTTATGGAACATATTACTCGATAGGTATAATTGTCCATTATGCATGACCTCTATAGTAACCGGTTTATTGTTTTACGTAATTGCGTATTAATTATACAAGACAACAGCACATTAAATGGCATATATGATTTATTTGTCTTATAAAACGTAAATTAAGCGTGAAAGCGTAGCTATTTTCAGTTTCTTCGGCTATATCGGTTCGACTTTTCGGAGATTTTATTAGACAATTATGAATTGCATTTTTGTTCCTATAAATATATTGCTTACATTTTAAGTAGAAATTTCAAAATATCTTTGTAATTCTAAAGTGAAGTTTTAAATTTAAAAATAATTTTAACTCGTGCTAGGATACTTTAAATTACCACTAAGCTAATTAAGGTATTAAATAATGAAAGGATTTTTGCTAAAAGATTAATTCATGGACACTAATTATTAAACAATAGCAGCATTTAATAGTGTTAATAAAAGAATTTAATATAAATATATTTTATTTACTTTAAGACTTTAAGTATCTTGACATTTTTTAGTGTTAATTAAATTAATTTACGCCTCATAAATCGGATCTGTCCGCACACTGTCTGCACGTGAACAGATCTTATATGTCTGCTAATAAACTCCTAAAAAATACAACCAAAGGGGACTAAAAGTACAAAATATGTTTATTTGAAATGGGCCTATAATTGTGAGGTTTTAGTATACAAATTGCCTAAAAATCATATGAACCTGATTTTTTAAGTCGCTTTTACGGTAGGCGTACCTATGTGTTGAATTCAAAATGTACATAAACTTAACTGTAAATGACTTATGTATTTTTTTAACTTTAAATTACGTGTTTTGATTATTATGACAGCAACCCTTCCGGATCACTTTACTATTATACCAGTCACAAAGACTATGTATCATATCATCTAAGTACAAATTTTGCTCATAGTTATAAAACTAGAAATATCTATGTTATATACGTAGATTTTCCTTAAATCAGCCATATGGTTTGTCTGTTAATAGGGTTTTTTAAATATAAATATATCATTCGATAAAAGTGCATTCTTTGTGTATATCGCATGCAATTTATTCAGAAATATAACTAGATAAGTTCCAGGAGCAATTAATAAAACTGTAACACTAATATTACAAACGTAGATAATAAAGCAAAATAGGGTCATATGATAACAATCTTACCACTGCGCTATCTAAACGCTTAGTTTAGTATGTGCCAAGCATCGAACGATTCCACACCTTCACCGAAGAGGTTGAAATAAATAATACTTACCAATAAACTTCAAATAGTCCTCGAAGTTATCTGATGATTTTAATTTATATTTTTTGCCTATAAACGGTTCCATTTCTTCAAGTACACACGTCCGTGACTGAACGCGTTCAATTTTATTATAAATTTATTAGTAGGTACGCACTACGCATTCACAACAGCTAAACTATACATTTTAGAATTGTCTATTAACATCGAAATTAACACATCTATATTGAAAATATTTATTAAATATTTTACTTATACGACTTACAGGCTTGCAATATTTTTACTTTTAAGAGAGACTGTCAACGCAATTTTGTCGAAAAAATTCTTTATAGTAATTGAGAAATAAATACATCGAAGTCAAGCCTTATTTAGTACTTGACAATACAGCTTCAATGAAAGATTTTTGCTAGGTAATGAAATTGAAACAGCGAGCATTTAATGACGTTTAAAATATTTTTTATTGACGACGAGCATAGCTATGTAGGCATCGAACTTCGCGTGTCCAACAATTCATTGTGTTTTGTAATTAGAACTCGCTAGTGAAAAAAGGAAGGCAAGGACTCCGTCTCAGAATAGTTGACCGGGTTTGTGAATCGCCCTTCATTGTAGAGATACATACCAGCAGACTGTAGTATACACCCCCATAATATGTCCCCTGTGTTATAGGTATGTACCCCGTATGTCAATAAATTACATATTTTAATTTGACTTGGCTTGAGATATGAACTACATTTTTAAGAAGTTAATAGTATCATTATTTGTTAGTAAAATTAACATCTTATCTTATAACTAAAAATTATGTACTAAATATAAACTTGGACCCCAATAAAAAATCTTCACATATAAACGTATAAGTTCTTAATAATTCTATTGTTGAAACCATTTAAATTTAAGTACCAAGCTGCGCCGTGGACACAAAAGTGCGAATTCTTATTAGACGCGATAATATTGAGTTTTTTTTTACAAATCGGGAAATAAAAGTTTTCAAAGATGGACGAGAAGCAAGAAGCAAAAGACTGTCCGATAGTGGTAGCTTAAGTCATATGAAAAATTTTAGATAAAATTATATTCTAAAATGAGATTTAAGCATGATCACCGAATCAAAACTCTGCCTTATTTCAAAATCTCATATTAGTCGAGGTCTATGCCCACAATAGTTCGTCGATCATTTCAAATTTGTAAATAGGTTGCTTGAAAGTAAATTTTGCGTTACCAACGCATCATGAGTTTTGGACATGTAACAACCAGAGGTCCAGAAAGTTTAGAAAATGATATAGTGGCAGAGTGGAGGGCAACAGGCCTTGAGGCCAGACTCGCTGGACCTATCAAGTAAAGGCCCTTACAGGTCTTACCATCTGATACCATATAAAAAGAAAACTGATTTTTCATCCTGTGACAGGCAAACACGCATGCTATGTTTTTCGCTGTTTTTATCAATATATCGTTGAGTCTATTCTTGATGTCTCTGACTAATCCTAAGTCTCTAAGGTTCAAACACGTCATTCAGGTTGCACTTGGTGCACCAACGAACTTTCTCTGTGCGCATTTAACACTCCCTGGCACGGTGAAGGAAAACATGAGGAAACCGGCATGCTTTGGACGCCAAAAGTCGACGGTGTGTCTCAGGCACCGAAGGTTGATCACCTACTTGACTATTTGAAATGATTACGAAACACATACAGAAATCTGAGGCCTGATAAAAGTTTTTAGCGCACTGAGTTATATTTCTTTCTAAAATATTTTTTAAAATTATGGGTTAATACCGAAATTATAGGTGCAACTCGTTGATAATTACTTTGTGAGAAGTATATATATCTTCTGTACGTTTGTTTGTAATTGAACCTAAACGGCTAGACCAACTTAGATTTATAATATTCTGTCAAATAAATATCATAGGGATACAGTATCAGCGGTATACATGAAGATACGTCATTAAAATCGGTGACCGCTTTGGACATTGCAACTGAATAAAAATTATTTTGATATTGTGATTTAAAAATAATAACATAAAATAAACAAGTACAGGGAGATTTGTATTTTAATCATTTAAAAAAAATTGCATAATATTGCGCAACGAAAAAAATGAGTACCTTGAACTTTGTACTTAATTATCATTATATTTATCTAAAGAACAAACAAGGTTTTATCAGATATTTAGCAATAGTTTTTAACCACAGTAACAATTAACATACAATTTTAAGATTTTTAAGATTCTCATATTTAATGTATGAATAGACATGTTATGTATGTTCCTGTTGCTTAGTGAGACTTGGTGAGATGTTGCTATGCCACACATGCCCTTTTTAAGGGGAAGAAGTACAAGCAATCGATAGATGAATCAGGCGCCTTAGTTCTCAAGGTGTTTTGCTAATGATAACATGTTTTCCTTTAGGAAATTGATACAAATATATAAAACAAAAAACTAAACAATTGCCTTTACTAGAATTTTTCCAGTTTTACGCGAAAATATTTGTCTGTTACTATTGCGAACCATTAACAGAGGACGGCAGCGAGAGATGCCTGAAAAAAACATAGTTATGCTGCCCAAAAAGCCCGAGCTGTCAAGGCCCGATTTAGCCAACTCCACTTTGGATGATCAAGGGAAGGAACCACCGACATTATTGCGGTGTGATACTACGATGCCCGAAGTTATATTCCGGCAACGTGCTATCCGTAAAGCTTTGTCTTCCTTGGACATCCATAAGTCGAGCGGGCCCGATGGCATCCCTAAAATTGTTATATAATTGTATTAATAAAGAGTTCAACACCATCTTTACCCCAAAGAAAGTCTCTCATTCGCAGTGTAAATCGTTTAGTGATTGGGCGACAGCGGGAATTTATAAAAGTAGACAACGGTTGTATGACCTTTACGCTGAAAAGTCATACAATCATAATGAAGAATTTATTCTTTATGTTCGAAATTATTCGAAATTATTTAAGAAAGTTTGTTACGCGGCCAAGTCTTTAAATATCAAAAACAAGATTAAAAATAGTACCAATAAAACTAAAATGACTTGGAAGATAATTGATAGTGAAACTGGAAGAGTCAGGGATCGCAATCAAGACATCGAACTATGTGTCGATAACACTATAATCAAATCTAACGAAGAGATAGCGATTGTTTTTGATAAGTACTTTTCTGACATTCCAATTTCGACTACTAAGTCTCTTCAATCATCTCCCGCCCTCGCCGAATCGCTGCTCAAAGATAATGTAAACGAGTGCAAGGTCAGTTTTTCATTCCGACCCATTGGTGCCGACGATATAGTGAGGATATTTAGAACCATAGATATTAAGAACACTACCGATCTTTGGGGTATTTCTGTAAAAATAATTAGTAGCATAATTGATGTAATTGCTCCCCATCTAGCTATAATTTTCAACAATTGTATTAAAAGTGGCGAGTTTCCCGATCTAATGAAACATAGTAAAGTTATTCCTTTATTTAAAGCAGGTAGTATGTCTGACCCCAGTAACTTTAGACCAATTTCCGTACTACCTACTTGTAGTAAAATATTTGAAAAAATTATATTAAATCAACTGGTAAGTCATTTTAACGTAAACAAATTATTACATAATAATCAGTTCGGTTTTACCAAGGGTCGCTCGACAGCCGATGCCGGTGTTGAGTTATATAGATATATAGTTAAGGCTTGGGAGGAGTCGCATGACGCTTTAGGTGTTTTCTGCGACTTATCCAAAGCATTTGATTGTGTCCAACACGAGACCTTAATCGGGAAACTCCGCCACTATGGCATCAAGAATACCGCACTGAATCTTCTGACTTCCTATTTACACGGAAGAACTCAGAAGGTTGAAGTGAATGGTAAGAGGTCCTCTGGGTCGGCAGTAGATATGGGGGTACCACAGGGCTCAATTCTTGGCCCTTTCCTCTTTCTTGTTTATATAAATGATCTACCTTTCATGGTAGAGAGAAAACATCATCAGAGTTTGCTGATGACACGTCCTTGATTTTTAAAATCAAACGACAAATAACAAATTTTGACGATGTGAACAATGCTCTGTCTTCGATTGTCCATTGGTTTAGTATGAATAACCTTCTACTTAATGCAAAAAGACAAAATGCATTAAATTTTGTGCAAAAAATGCAAGGGTTATGGATACTAGACCAATTATAAACGGTGAGGAATTGAATCTGGATGATACAACTGTATTTCTCGGAATCACCATGGATTCAAAACTTCAGTGGTCCCCTCATATTAACGGATTGGCGAAGAGACTTAGTTCTGCAGCCTACGCGGTTAAAAAAATTCGCTCACTAACTGATGTCGATACAGCTAGACTTGTTTATTTTAGTTACTTTCATAGCTTAATGACTTATGGCTTATTATTATGGGGTCATGCTGCTGATGTCGAAACTATTTTCATCCTGCAGAAGAGGGCTATTCGTGCAATCTATAATTTAAAATGTAGGGAATCTCTTAGAGATAAATTCAAGGAAATTAATATACTTACCTTTCCCTCGCAATATATTTATGAAAATATTATGTATGTATACAAAAATAGTGATAAGTTTACTAGAATAGAACATACGCACAATGTTAATACACGGAACAAACGCAGGCTGCAATTTCCCCGTACTAGACTATCTACAGTTAGTAATTCTTTTTTGGGGAAAGGGATACTCTTCTTTAATAAAATCCCAGAGGCTCTTTTATCACTGCCTTTCAATAAATTTAAGAAATGTATTAAAAGCTGTGTAAAAAGGCTTACTATAAAGTCAACGATTATCTAGTTGATAAAAGGGCCTGGGACTAGTGCTAGACAGGCTACTTCTAATCAATTTGCGATATTTGTTTTAAATAAGTGTTGTTTGATGATTTGCTGTTTTAAAAGAGTACCGAGAGTTTTTTACGCCGGCTTTTTCTCTCGGCCTACACCCTCTGTCTTCTTTGCCGATGAGTAGGGATGCCTTCAAATTTAATGACGTGGAATAAGTGATACATGTATCTTATGTTCCATAATAAACATATTATATTATTATTATGTGCTGCGTACTTGTGCTCCTGAGTTGGCTCCGGTCCTAACGCGCCTTTTCCGGTACCTTTACACGCTCGGCACTGTTCC